ATACAGTAATATCATACCTATAAGACCCACAGGATATAACTATGTCGCATGAACGATGTGCCATGTAAGATTTAAATACGGTATACTAATAATAATTATAATAGTCTCCTTGGCACTAGCTGAAGTCGTTATAAAATGAATGAACTGTCCCACAAAATAAATTAAAATAATTAAAAGTGCCTTAAATATTCTTTTTAAAATAACCTTATGTATATTCTTATTTTACTGCAATATATATATATTTTTCTTTATGTACAATATAAAAGAATATAAAATTTGGTATCAATATAAAAGACAACATTTTAACACTGAAGTATTATGAAACAAGGTTCATATTGGAAAATTCTTTCCATACGAGTGGCCACACAGCCCTCGCTGCTTGAGAGGATGTCTCATGTTGATTGTATCTCTCATTAAGAAAGCAGGATGCAAGCCAACATCTCAAATTAATTTCTTTCGTGATAATAAACATATAAATTGAGCTTTTGGCCTCTTAACACTCAGATATTTAAATAAATGAGATGAAAATGATGAAATGTGCACTGAATATCACGTAAATCATACAGCATTAGCATTACTGCTTTGTAACTCCATCAACAAACCGGTTGGTTGCTTATTATACAGGTCCTAAGAGGTTTAGAGCCCACCACATTGTCCAGCTCATCAACCAGTAGATGAGTCGCTAGTTCTTGCCTCACCCGGTACATATCGCCAGCTGGAGTATCCATACCGGTACTCCAGCTGACAACACTCAACCCTGCGCATTATGAGAGAAGAGATCCCTCTCCACCGCTGCTGCTACGTATGTATGTATGTATGTATGTATGTATGTATGTATGTATGTATGTATGTATGTATGTATGTATGTGTGTGTGTGTGTGTGTGTGTGTGTGTGTGTGTGTGTGTGTGTGTGTGTGTGTGTGTGTGTGTGTGTGTGTGTGTGTGTGTGTGTGTGTGTGTGTGTGTGTGTGTGTGTGTGTGTGTGTGTGTGTGTGTGTGTGTGTGTGTGTGTGTGTGTGTGTGTGTGTGTGTGTGTGTTTGTTTGTTTAAGGTGAAGTGTCATCTAGCCCCGCCTTTAGAATATTCTGACGTTCAATGCAATGACTGTTCTCTAGTTTTCTTATCACATATGTACTAATTTAGACCCCCAACACTGAAATGTTTTTTATATGTCTGTGACTCATCTGTGTGTTTCCATGTATGTTTAGCAGTCCATTGCTCTGTAAACAACTACTCTCTCTGTTCCCCCTTATAATAGTTTATGTCGTTATGTCCCCATAATTTTTCCTGTAGTGTGGTGAGGTCCAGATCCCGCAGTCATTCCTTGTAGCTCGGTTCCCCTGTGTACAGGAGCGAGTATTATTGCTTATTTTTGAACCTTTCCTACTTTTGTTTTGTCGGGCCAGAATACTCGAGTGGGTCTCACGTATGGTGAATATACAAATACAAATATTTATTCAGGTAAAGTACATACATACAAGGTGAGATACAAAACGTTAATGGATTTATAGATAGAGCTAATACATACAATGCCTAAAGTCACTATTACGCAAAACGTTTCGGGCAGAAACGTTCCCAGGTTCCCAGTTATAAGACCCAGGTTCCTTTGTTTAAGTTCCAGAATGAATTTCAGGCTACACGAACATTAGCCAGTTTGGGATAACAAACAAGAGAACGTCACTATTACACCGGGATGCTCCCTATAAGGGTCTCGAATACTTAACTGACATTTAGTTAAGCGTTTCGTACTCCAGGGAAAGTTTGAAGTTTCAGCTGTGTGTCAGTTAGGTACTTACTTCCCTGATCATTCCTTATTGCGAGCATCCTGGCCTAGTGGCTAGTGACGTTCTTATATTTTTAATGCCCGAGTTCGAATCTCCGATGATCCAAGTGAATGGAGTGAATAGGTTTAGACCTACGATATTGTAGATTGCATCTTAAATCTATATATACACACACTCAAGAAGGAGCATTTGGAAGTCAGAAGCAGAAGAGTGCTAACGTTAATAAAGTAACGTTGCTATGGGCCAGAGACGTTAGGGCATCATATAATTATGCAAACATGTATAACGACTACGCAAAATGCATGACAAACTTCATTGCAAAAGCCGCAGTATGCATTGCTACCGTCTCCCGCCATAAGATGTCTACCAGTCAAGGACAAACTTCAGCAAATCAGTGCGCACTAACACACGAAAGTATGCAGGTAAGCATTATTATCAATATTTTATCGAGAAGTAGACATATTACTCCTACCAGGCATTTCTACAATTAATCTTGCATAATGACTTGCATTAAATGCGTCACAGAGTAGCCTAATGATATGCCAGCCAGCCAGTCTAATTAATTATCAAAAGGGTTTGAGGATTAATGTATGTATGTATGTGTGTGTATATATATATATATATATATATATATATATATATATATATATATATCCCATAATGGAAAAGACTGTCACAACAATACTTGAAAACGCACATGCTGAAAATAAAGCCCGCCTCCTAGCGGTAACAGCACTCCACGCCGGGGATTTTTTATTTGCTGTGCCCAATGCAGCCCTGGGAACTCGCCTCAATCATGACGCTCTCCGCATTGGAGTTGCCCTTCGCCTTGCCGCCCCCATCCTCACCGAACATAGGTGCATCTGCGGAACTGCGATGGCAGACCAATACGGTCGTCATGGTCTGGTATGTCGTAAATTACAGGGTAAGATTGCAAGAGATGAAGAAGCTACCGACATCATCAAGAGGAGCCTCGCCATGGCCCGCTGCCCAGCACAAAGAGAACCACACTTATTCAGACCCAACGACCCTCAGAAGTGCCCAGATGGGGTCACCTTGCTTCCTTGGAAGGATGGTAAGCAATTGGTGTGGGACTACTCGTGTGCTGCCACACTGGCCAGTACCTACCTTCACTACAGCACACGCGAAGGGGGTGGCGCTGCTTCTTTAAGGGAATCCCAGAAAATTATCAAATACAGAGGTCTGGCACACTGCTACAGCTTTGTTCGGATCTGTTCGGAGACCCCTCGGTTCGTGGGGAAAATGTGCATTGAAGTTCCTGAAGGAATTGGGGGACAAATTGATCGGCGCTACAAAAGACCAAAGAGCAAAAAGTTTCTTGATCCAGCGCTTCAGTGTTGCGATTCAGAGGGGGAATGCCTGTTGCGTCTTGGGCACTAGTCCAACTTCGGAGGAATTCGAAGAAGTGTTTGACTTGCAACAATAATCGAACCTGTCTGTGACATTTATCAATGTTTCCTATTGTCGTGTTTTTCATTTTACTTGTATTGGTTGAGTTGTGTATGTCAAGGCCACATTTGTAATCATGTAATCTTGTACAATAAATGTTCCTATATATGTGTGTGTGTGTGCGTATGTGTGTGTATGTGGTGTGTGTATGTGGTGTATGTATGTGGTGTATGTATGTGGTGTGTGTGTGTGTGTGTGTGTGTGTGTGTGTGTGTGTGTGTGTGTGTGTGTGTGTGTGTGTGTGTGTGTGTGTGTGTGTGTGTGTGTGTGTGTGTGTGGATATATGCATGTTTATACACTTATATGTGTACGTAATATTAACAATTGTATAACTAGCCTCACAAACCACCACCCTCAGGATAGATATGGGGCGTATAATAAATAAATAAATAAATGAATGAATATTAATGCTTCACCCACGTATTACAAATGATGTTAACTGCCAACAGAACCTACACCCAACCTAACCTTAATGGCCTAATTGTACACCAAAATTCTGCAATACAATATTAATTTCAATATGAGGAGAAACTCCTACTGTTGAATACACTACGTTTAAATTGAAGAATGCATCTTCGGGGGTTGGCCACCGCTTGGACAAGCCAAGCCTGAGGAGAATCGATTGCAACAGTCAGCCTGTCTCATACACAATGGTCAAATGCTCGTTAATTCATCTGCCACTCCATTTATGACTTAAAACACTGTACTCCTGATTACATTAGCTCTCTTCCTGTGTTCGAATTGCACCTCTGTGAATGCTTCACCCACTTACTGAAAATACAAATAATTGCCACCAGAATCAAAACGCATAGCCTAAGAAGAAGAACCTATATCTTAGGCTTAGCATTATATATATAATTTTGTGTACACAATTATTAATTTATATTTGAGAAAATATCAATTTTGGTTACAAAGTATGTTACAATTTACGAATGGATCTTTAGGGTTGGCAGCAGGTTAGGACGAGCACAGCCTATGGATGGGTTTATACACTGGGTCGTGTGCCTCATCACCAATTAGACATAAAAATTCATACTAAAACCGTATTATACTAAAAAAATATATAATCATAGTATGTTATATTTAGATTCAATTGTAATAATGGGTTCCCTGAATGACAGACTATAATTTGCAGTGTTAGCGTGACTAAACGTGTTAAAGCAATTGACCTTTGATAAGTGACAAATCTACCTCTAGACCCAAATACAGAAAATGGACTTGATACTTCTAATTGTTATCTCTGTAACTTGTGACTCGTCCTAATATGGTGATTCGCCAGCTACTCTGACCGCCCATATAATGCTTCCCGTTTTATCTGAGACATGTGTTAACGGCTTCTGTTAGACTCACAGAGGTTCCTTAGCCACCGCGGAATTTGGTATTAACTTTATGCCGGTATCTTGCATTTTGGGTAATTTCAACTTTCTTTAAGTGATGATCTGTGATTTCTTTCCATTTTCTTAATTATTATTTGTAACGTATTACAGTTTTTGAAAATAATGAAGTTTCGGTTAGTTTGAGATATTAAAAACATAAATAGATTATGTAGCCTAATATATTTAGTAGACAATTACCTAAATTTATCTTTCCATGTAAATTATTGCCTATATACACACTTGCCGTTTATAAATATGTCTATAAACAACAAAATAATAATCATTTATTAACGTTATTACTGTGGTAGTAAAAATCTATTCGTAAATTAACCCATATTTATATTTTATACGAGAACCTGCAGTTACCTACCTGGTCTATCCAGAGCTGAACAGGTGACCCACAAGGCAAGAGTCCCAAAGAGAAGGGAAAACATGTTCTTAGTTCTCAAATTCTCTTCATAACGTTGGGAATTCCACAAACAGTTTCTCACTCAAGGATGCAGGAGCACTGGAGTCTGACGTTCATACCCGGTCACTGCCCAAACACAACTGAGTGAAGTGTGTGGTATGATGCCAGCCCCCCCAGCCCTGCCCCGCCATCTACCAGGCGCTGGGCTTACTAACCTGTCTACCTCAGCCTCCTGATGCTGCCTCAACAACTGCACACTCACAGTTTGTGTACGCACCTCACCTAGTTATACTCACCTAGTTGTATATGCCGGGGTTGAGCTTTGGCTCTTTGGTCCCGCCTCTCAACCGTCAATGTACTGGTGTACATATTCCTGAACTTCTCGAGCTCTATCATATATACATTTGAAACTGTGCATGGAGTCAGCATCCACCACATCATTCCATTTACTAACTACTCTGACACTGAAAACGTTCTTTCTAATGTCTCTGAGGCTCATGTGGGTACTCAGCTTCCACCTGTGTTCCCTTATCCGTCCTTGTCTACCCTGTCAATGTGTGGACGCATGTATGTGCATTTACCTATCAGTGAATAGAGGAAAGTGAGGTTTAACTCTTTTATGCCCCGCCTACTTGTCTTGTTTTACCCGTTCTGTTATAATTTAACTCAAATCAAATCAAATCAAATGTTTATTCAGGTAAAAGTAAATCGAACTATTCTGACGTTCGATTTCTTTGTCGAATCTGGCCTTAAAGTTACGCGCGTATGTGTGTGTGTAATTACCTAAGCATAGTTACAAGATGAGAGCTACGCTCGTGGTGTCCCGTCTTCCCAGTACTCTTTGTCATATAACACAATGAAACTACTGACGGCTTTGGCCTCCAACACCTTCTCACTTAACTTGTTCCTACTATCTACGACTCTATAAAATAAAACTTTCTAATATTTTTTGGCACTTGTTTTCTTAATTTGAGTTTATGACCTCGTGAGGGCCTCGTAGCCTGGTGGATAGCGCGCAGGACTCGTAATTCTGTGGCGCGGGTTCGATTCCCGCACGAGGCAGAAACAAATGGGCAAAGTTTCTTTCACCCTGAATGCCCCTGTTACCTAGCAGTAAATAGGTACCTGGGAGTTAAGTCAGCTGTCACGGGCTGCTTCCTGGGGGTGGAGGCCTGGTCGAGGACCGGGCCGCGGGGACACTAAAGCCCCGAAATCATCTCAAGATAACCTCGTGTACTTGAAGTTACAGGTTTGCAAGAATTCTTCTGTCAGTTTTGTAGATTTTTGTTGCTATTTTGTACACAGTTATCACATCGCCTTTTTTTATTATATCTTCTAGCTTTGGTATATTTAACGCCTGTAGCCAGGCCTCTAGGAGGCCTGGTAGAGGACCGGGCCGCGGGAACGTTGAGCCCCGAAATCATTGCAAGGTAAGCATCTCCACGTAGCTCATGTTTTTCAATTCCGAAAGCCATTAAGTTGCATATCTTTCCACCTTTTCCAATTTCTTGATGTGCTTCTTAAGATATAGGCACCATGCAACCGCTGCATATTCAAATTTTAATCTTAAAAATGTTATATATCCTCGCAAAATGCTCTTTATTTATTTGGGCCTCAGGTGTGTGTATGCTCACCAAATTGTGTGTGTGTGTGTGTGTGTGTGTGTGTGTGTGTGTGTGTGTGTGTGTGTGTGTGTGTGTGTGTGTGTGTGTGTGTGTGTGTGTGTGTGTGTGTGTGTGTGTGTGTGTGCGTGTGTGTGTGTGTGTGTGTGTGTGTGTGTGTGTGTGTGTGTGTGTGTGTGTGTGTGTGTGTGTGTGTGTGTACTCACCTAATTGTACTCACCTAATTGTGCTTGCGGGGGTTGAGCTCTGGCTCTTTGGTCCCGCCTCTCAACCGTCAATCAACTGGTGTACAGATTCCTGAGCCTATTGGGCTCTATCATATCTACATTTGAAACTGTGAATGGAGTCAGCCTCCACCACATCACTTCCTAATGCATTCCTAATGTGTGTGTGTGTGTGTGTGTACTCACCTAGTTGTGCTTGCGGGGGTTGAGCTTCGGTTCTTTGGTCCCGCCTCTCAACTGTCAATCAGTGTACAGGTTCCGGAGCCTAATGGGCTCTAGTCTATCTACGTTTGATACTGTGTAGTCTACCTCCACAACATCACTTCTAATGCATTCCATTTATTAACTTCTCTGACACTGAAAAAATTATCTCTATAACGGCACTATGGCTCATTTGGATATTCTGTTTCCACACGTGTTCTCTTGTGCGAGTACTCCTGTGTTAAATAAACCGTCTTTATCAACCCTTATCAATTCCTGAATCTTATACGTGGTGATCATGTCTCCCCTAACTCTTCTGCCTTCCAGCGACGTGAGGTTTAGTTCCCGTAGTCTCTCCTCGTAGCTCATAATCCCCTCAGCTTGAGTACTAGTCTGGTGGCATAACTTTGAACCTTCTTCAATTTCGTTTTGTGCCTGACTAGATACGGACTCCATGCTTGAGCTGCATACTCCATGATTGGTCTGACACATGTGGTATACAAGGTTCTGAATTATTCCTTACACAAGTTTCTAAAGGCCGTTCTTATGTTGACCACCTTGGCATATGCCGCTGATGATATTCTCTTGATGTAGGGCCTAAGGGGACAGGTCTGGCGTGATATCAACCAGCCAAGTCTTACTCACTTTCTGATTAAGAATTTCATCTCACAAATGGTACCTTGCATCTGGCCTCCCGCTCCCTTCACCTATCTTCATTACTTTACGTATGCATGCTGCTTCATGCATGCTATGCATACTTTGTATGCTACTTCATTACTTTACATTATTTCTAGTGCCTCTGTGGCTCATTTGGGTACTCAAGTTTCCCTGTGTCCCCACACACACATATTGTGTGTGTAGAAATACATGTTTAAAACATTAAAAATAACCCTACATATATGAAAATGAAAGTGTCGGCTTCAGTTACCTGTGTGGACTTGGTAAATTATTGAAGTTATTTAGACTTATTTTATGTATATTCATTTTAGTTAACCCATTTACAAAATCGTTTTCTTTAAACTGTATCAAAGAAAACCTATTTGGATGCGTAACTAATCAGCTTGTGGGACTGAACAAAAATATGCACCAGGGTAATTGTACTCATCTAGTTGTGCTTTGACTCCTTGGTCCCGCCTCTCAAATGTCAATAAACTGATGTACAGATTCCTGAGCCTACTGGGCTCTATATTATCTACATTTGAAACTGTGTATGGAGTTTGGCTCCACCACATTACTGCCTAATGCACTTCCATCTGTTAATACCACCAGGGTAATTGTATACAGTAGCAAACTATGTATACTCTCGCTGGGAACAGAAAGTTAGCTAATCGAGGTTCGCTTTGCCAAGGGCGAGACTGTGTCTACCCCAAGTTAATTTTTGTTCTTATTTGACCCTTTACTAGGAAAGATCCCTATTAAACATTGCTGTATGTGCCTAATATTTGGCTGGGATATGAGGACCAGGAGCTGGGCTATGAGGACCAGGAGCTGGGATATGAGGACCAGGAGCTGGGCTATGAGGACCAGAAGCTTGAATATGAGGACCAGGAGCTGGGATATGAGGACCAGAAGCCTGAATATGAGGACCAGGAGCTGGGATGAGGCCGGAGTGAAGGAACGGTGCCCAGCCACCAGGACCACTCGAAATCAAACTCAAAATAACCATGGCAAAGGACATGGCTTTTATTGTGTACAAAAAAGAGGAATGTAATGAAAAACGTTCATTACTACAACTACGTTAACACTGGAAGATTACATTTCTAATTATAAGTTATAAAAATTCTGCCCAAAAGAATAATGCGTTAATATTTTAAAATGACAAGCGAAAATTAGTAATGATATTTAGATCAAAGAGCGAGCATTGAACGAATATAATTAAAAGAACAGAGAAAAAAACTCCTACCGCTGGTGGGGTGAGGCCTGCGCAGACATCCACGGAGGACCTGTCTGGACTTGTGCAGAGTTCTGCTGGCAGTCTGCACCCAGACCCACCGGCAGCAAGACCAGCGTCCAGGCTTGTCCCATTTACTATCTCCACGTGCTCAACATATCTCATTCGTACTCAGTCGACCACATCAATGCTGCATATTTTCATCATCAGGGCGGTGACACATTAGTTTAGATTAGTCAGAAACTAGCGTCAAGTCAGGGAGCGTCCGTCTGTTCCCGTTGATCAAGTGAAATTTGGGGTTTTGCAAGATTTTGATATTTGTGTGGAAGCTGTGGAAGGAGCAGTGGGACATGACCCACGTCCTGCATGTCCTCCATCTGTTCTGCTAGACATGTCTCTAATCCTGTTCCTCGCTTGTGTGGTGGGTAAGTACTTGTGTGTGTGTGTGTGTGTGTGTGTGTGTGTGTGTGTGTGTGTGTGTGTGTGTGTGTGTGTGTGTGTGTGTGTGTGTGTGTGTGTGTGTGTACACACCTAATTGTGCTTGCGGGGGGGAGGGGGGATCGAGCTTCGGCTCTTTGGTTCCGCCTCTCAACTATCAATCTGCTTGTGTACACGTTCATGAGCTTATTGAGCTTTATTATATCTATATTTGAAATTGTGCATGGAGTCAGCCTCCACCACATAAATTCCTAATCTCTAACAATGAAAAATTGATTTCTAATGTCACTGTGGCTCATTTGGCCATTCAGTTTCCACTTGTGTCCCCTTGGGAGAGTAACACCCCTTAAATAATCTGTCATTATCTACCCTATCAAATTCCCCTGAGAATTTTGTATATGGTGATCATGTCTCCCCGAACTCTTCTGTCTTCCAGTGATGTGAGGTGCAATTCACGCAGTCTTTCCTCATAACTCATGCCTCTTAGTTCTGGGCCTAGTCTAGTGTCATACCTTCGAACCTTCTTCAGCTTCGTCTTGTGCTTGACAAAGTCAGGTCTCAAGAGTTTGCTAGGGCCATAGTACAGTTCTCGTGTGTGTAGTATCTAAGATCAACCGTCTAAGATCACAAGGAGTGGACTGAAGGCTATGGTAGAGCTCTGGGGTCTTTAAGTTTAGTTAACTAAGGGCTAGGTAGTGGACGAAGTCGTCCCCCATTACATCCATGCTGGAGCCGCATACGCCAGGATTGGTCTTACCTTTGTGGTATACAAGGATTTAAAATATTCCTTACACAAGTATCTAAAGGTAGTTCTGATGTTAGCCAGCTTCGTATACGCCGCTGATGATATTATTTTGATGTGGGCTTCAGGTGACAGGTTCGGCGTGATATTAGCTCCTAGATTTTTCTACCTGCCTAGAGTACTTGTGGTACTTCGCTAGTCCTTCGGGGGAGAAACTTACTGCAATAATGTAATGCTTAAATGAAGATGAGGAAAAGACCCAAAACATCTGATACAATGTCTCTGGTTACCGCCCTCATCTGTCAAAAAAATGTTCACCCACGTCAGCAGTTTGCCTGTCACCCGTCTAGTGACAGGGGAGGGGGGGAGGGGGGCAAGTGATCATGTAATAGCGATGGCCAACCTGTCCATCACTGTCATGAGGTGCAGGCCAGCACCTGCACACTTGAATATAACACCCTCGGCCCAACGCTTGGTAAACGTGAGGTGATTTGTCTTCTAATTGGCAAGCGAGGGAGGTCTGGCGTCCCCGATACTTGATATGCGATAATTAAGGCTCAAGTTATTACACCGGGCTGCTAAGGCTCAGTCTGTCTGGGTGTGTATGTCTGTGTCCATCTGTGAGGTACAGTGTATGGACTGTGGGCGCGAACGTGCAACCCCGTGTGTGTGTACTCACGTAATTGTGCTTGCGGGGGTTGAGCTTCGGCTCTTTGGCCCCGCCTCTCAGCTGTCAATCAACTGTGTGAGTGTGTGTGTACTCATCTAGTTGTACTCACTTAGTTGTGCTTGCGGGGGTTGAGCTCTGGCTCTTTGGTCCCGCCTCTCAACTGTCAATCAACTGTGTGAGTGTGTGTGTACTCATCTAGTTGTACTCACTTAGTTGTGCTTGCGGGGGTTGAGCTCTGGCTCTTTGGTCCCGCTTTTCCGCTGTCAATCAACTATGTGAGTGTGTGTGTACTCGTCTAGTTGTACTCACTTAGTTGCGCTTGCAGGGGTTGAGCTCTGGCTCTTTGGTCCCGCCTCTCAACTGTCAATCAACTGGTGTACAGGTTCCTAAGCCTATTCGGCTCTATCATATCTACACTTGAAACTGTGTATGGAGTCAGCCTCCACCACATCACTTCCTAATACATTCCATTTGTCTACTACTCTGATACTGGAAAAAAAAATTCCAATGTCTCTTTGGCTCATTTGGGCACTCAATTTCCATCTGTGTTCCCTAGTGCGTGTCCTCCTGGTATTAAATAGTCTGTCTTTATCATCAATTCCTCTGAGAATCTTGTATGTGGTGATCATGTCCCCCCCCCTAACGCTTCTGTCTCCCAGTGACGTGAGGTTTAATTCCCGTGGTCTCTCCTCGTAGCTCATACCCCTCAGTTCGGGTACTAGTCTGGTGGCAAACCTTTGAACCTTTTCCAACATAGTTTTATGCTTGACTAGATATGGCCTCCATGCTGGAGCTGCATACTCTAGAATTGGTTTGACATATGAGGTATACAAAGTTCTGAATGATTCCTTACACAAGTTTCTAAAGGCCGTTCTTATGTTGGCCAACCGGGCATATGCCGCTGATGTTATCCTCTTGATATGGGCTTCAGGGGACAGGTCTGGCGTGATATCAACCCCCAGATCTTTCTCTCTTTGATTCTTGAAGTATTTCATCTCCCAAATGATACCTTGTTTCTGGTCTCCTGCTCCCCACACCTATCTTCATTACATTACATCTGCTCGGGTTAAACTCTAACAACCACTTGTTCGACCATTCCTGCAGCTTGTTCAGGTCTTCTTGAAGCCTCAAGCTGTCCTCCTCTGTCTTAATCCTTCTCATAATTTTGGTGTCGTCAGCAAACATTGAGGGGAATGAGTCTATACCCTCTGAGAGATCATTTACGTATATCAGAAACAGGATAGGTCCGAGTACAGAGCCCTGTGGGACCCCACTGGTGACTTCACGTCAATCTGAGGTCTCGCCTCTCATTGTAACTCTTTGCTTCCTATTGCTTAGGTACTCCCTTACCCACTGGAGCACCCTACCCGTTACTCCTGCCTGTTTCTCCAGCTTATTCATCAGCCTCTTATGGGGTACTGTGTCATAGACTATGCGCAAATGTTTCACATACAGAGGCATTTCTTACCAATGCACCATCTCCATCTTCCCTTTGGATGATTATCTGATGCTCAACCTCATTATTTTTCTCTGTGAGGGATTTGATCTCCTTTGCTGCTGTCAGCTCACTTTGCAGGTTGTTTATTGTATTCTTTATTTCATGCCTCTTCTTCCTAAATTCCTCCCAAACTTGGGCTAACATTTCCTTCATTAGGTCATCTTGACTTTTCCCTGTTCTCTTGGAACCCTTAGAACACCACTCTCATGACTAAAAATATACTCAACAGTGCTTTCTATTATCTTCGTCCTTTGTGTCTTTAAATAATATTTTTATAGCAGTCTAGACGATAAACCATTTCTGCTTTTCCTAGTGTTCTGTGTATATTGGTGTCGCCACAGACAAGTTTAGTTCCCATACAGAGATACTGAAATGTCCCAGGAAATATTGAGGGCGCAGATCCACACAAACACCTGAAGTTTTCTCGTTCCTTACATACACGACAATGAAAAAAATAGACTTGGCGCCAACCCAGGAGGGTCATTCCGGGTTCCAGAATTAATTGTGCGCCTCGCTGAACGTTTCTAAAAGTCGATCATTTCAGTGACCCATCAGCCGAAGCTGACCGTAACTCGTGGCTCATGGGATTGTTAGCTGCAGTTTACCTTCACTTCGTTCCCCGTTTGTTGTAATAAATTCCTTTCTCTTATTTGACATAGAATCTATGATCTCTTAACCTCAATAATTTTTTCCCCAAGAAGGTAGACGATCCCGACTATTACTGAAATATCACTGCACTATTTTACCCGCCCCAATTACTGAACGACACTTTGGCGCCATGCAGGTATGCATTACTTTCCCCAGGATGGTTGACGACACTGCGAGTAACATGTAACCTCGCACCATTACTTTCCCCAGGATGGTTGACGACACTGCGAGTAACATGTAACCTCGCACCATTACTTTCCCCAGGATGGTTGACGACACTGCGAGTAACATGTAACCTCGCACCATTACTTTCCTCAGGATGGTTGACGACACTGCGAGTAACATGTAACCTCGCACCATTACTTTCCCCAGGATAGTTGACGACACTGCGAGTAACATGTAACCTCGCACCATTACTTTCCCAGGATGGTTGACGACACTGCGAGTAACATGTAACCTCGCACCATTACTTTCCCCAGGATGGTTGACGACACTGCGAGTAACATGTAACCTCGCACCATTACTTTCCCCAGGATAGTTGACGACACTGCGAGTAACATGTAACCTCGCACCATTACTTTCCCAGGATGGTTGACGACACTGCGAGTAACATGTAACCTCGCACCATTACTTTCCCCAGGATGGTTGACGACACTGCAAGTAACATGTATCCTCGCACCATTACTTTCCCCAGGATGGTCGGCGGGGGTTACGCAGTGCCCCAACAAGACGGAGCTGGACGCCTGCTTGGCTAAGATCGTGCCCCACATGACCAGGACTGGTCTGCCACACCAACCCAAACATCTCACCCACATGTGCAGGTGATGTATACACATGCTCTCATGTGCACACGTACACATATTCTGATATACACACATATACACATACCCTGTTTATATTTGGTAATCTACGCACATGCATGTAAATACACAGACGAAAAACATTACATTATTATTTCCCAGGAAAATACATGTACGGGAAATGTGATATATTTGTAATTGTGACTTTGATCGCAATTCAGTCGTGAGAACGAGGCCGGGCCGCGCTGAGCCTGCTCCAGCCTCCAGCACTCACCTACACAATATTATCATTCAGCAACACACTATGGTCCTCACAACACTGTTGTTCGCTAGTCATTGTGGCTCATAAATACTTATTTTCAGAGAGAGAGAGAGAGAGAGAGAGAGAGAGAGAGAGAGAGAGGGGGGGAAGGGGGGGGGGAGGAAAAGGGGAGGAAAAGGAAAGGAAAAGGAAAGGAAAAGGAAAAGGAGGAAAAGAACCTTCAGCCCTAAGATGCATCTTTCACCTTGACAGCGGGGGTTCCAAAATGTGAAGCACAAGTTCACTTCCATCTTGAATATTCACCACTCTCCTGGATGGTCTAACCCCACATCTATCCGAATTGTGGACAAGGTGGAAAACCATGCAAGAAGACTCGTCTCTTCGGCACAGATTGGCTGAACTGGTCAATACATCAGAAACTTCAGCACCATAAAGATGCTGGTGGTCTTAGTGTTATGTATAAGACCAAGGTTCTCAAGATTCCCTACCTGGTAACTGTCCTGGTCCAGTTTTTTTGACAACCGAAGTTGGCACCTGCAACATAAGGCGCTCAGCCATCAACAGCCTCATGTTGGCTGTGCCATTCTCAAGAACCTCTTTCCATCACCGATCATTCATTCCGTAGGCGACTCATTTGGAACATGTTCTCTCCACACGTTGGTAAGCGTGAAATCAAGCATTATACGTTTAGCACATCATGATGCAGTCCGTAGTGCATGTGCCTGATATGATCAGGAACGCGGGTTCGATTCAGTCGTACAGCTTCAATATGTATTCATAGATTCATGAAATTATTGTGATTTTCATTGTGTAACCATTTAAAGCTCCAACTACTGCTACTTAGTCCCAACTCCTCTGTCTTTCCACAGAGCCTTCAAAGGCGGGATGAGGTGTGTGGACGCCTACACGGCCCAGTGTATGTCGAAGATAGAGCGCGCCGGTTTGGAGGAGCACCTGAAGGGCGCCCGCTCCACCCTTGCCTTCCTCTGCGACGACCCGGTCTTCCAGCGAGGTCTGTCATACATTCCAGTAACTCTCCTTACAACCCAATCTTCCAGCGCCTGTTACACATCCTTTCCAGTTGCCCTCTTTACGACCCGGTCTTCCAGGAAAAATTGTCATCCATTCCAGTGGGCTTCCTTACATCTTCCAGCAAGGTTAGCCACCCATTCTAGTGGCCCTCTTTACGACCCGGTCTTCTAGCAAAGAGTCAGCCATTCCAATGGTCCTCTTTATTATCCATATTTCCATCGATTTAAGTAATTCATTTCAGTGGCCCTCTGTACAACAAATTACACGAGTCCTAATTTTATTAGTATTTTTTAAACTGATTTTGTTTTCCTGTAAGATCTACGACTTTTCAAGAATTCCAACCATTCTTTTTTTCGAGACATGATATGTACTATTATCAGCATGTCTGTGTCTCCAACAGGGATATTTCAGTCTTTATGGGAAAGATCAAAGTTTTCTTCAGTGAAACATATTCCTCTTCGAGTAATGAGTTACTCTTCCAGTGGCATATTCTCGTGAAAACACAAGGCCATTCAAAATTCATCATTATACCTTCTTGAAGAATCAAGTTCAATTTTTAGACACTAAAGAACCTTTCAAATGAGGTCCAGGCATCTTTGATAAATCACAAATTTCTTCATTAGTTAGCAACTCTTACCAGACTCAGCCTAACATACTGAGTGGCCATTACACACAAAAATCACAATAACGTGACGCATCAAATGAACAAATCCACAAGGGCCGTGACGAGGATTCGAACCTACGTCTGAGAGCATCCCAGACGCTGCCTTAATCGACTGAGCTACGACATGGTAAAAGATTTGCAACCAGAAATTCTACTGAATTCACTTGGATCCTGCAGCCTCTCCGAGACACAAACCAGGATTTTACACAATTCCCCTCATGCACTCGAGCTATGTCAATAGGCGGTTCTACCTCTTCGTCCTTCCTACATTACACACAGAAATCACAATAGCGTGATGCATCAAATGAACAAATCCACAAGGGATTTGCTGTACTGCTGTACAAAATAGCAAATACAGTGTGGTTCTGTTCCCCCCGGAGTCGCCTTACACTGGCTGGTGTTTTTTTACTTCAGGTAATAACACTGGTGTCCACTGACCAATTATATTTATATGGAAACATATTTACATTTGCAACTGTTATCACTGCAGAAACATATGACATTTAGTATTAAATTGAAACAAACAAAACCCACATATTTACGAGTTATTAAATAAACATAAAAAAATATATTTTTTGCTTTGACACTGCAGTGTTTATTTATATTAAATATTAGCAGTCAATAAAAACAAAATCCTTAATGCATAAATCCGTTTTTAGTATTAAATTATCGAAGAAGCATGATCTTCGTCGCTGTTTGGCAAATAGATCAATTAATTAACTTAATTAATAAGATCCAGTATTGTGAATTAATATCATCTCACAATTATCACAGTCTTCTACTACTGTTTGATTTACCACTTTCGGTAATTATTTAAATCAAATGTCAAACACACATACTTAAAAATGCCCTGTACAAAGTAACACAAAGCGGAAGTAAGGTCAATATTTTCAAAAACCATATATTTAAGAAATCTATTTATATATTCAAGGTCGAAGCCAAACTAGTTTCAGCGTCAACTAGATTCCAAGGTGAAGCTAAGGGTCACCTGATACCCCCAGAGCCTCACATTTCCTCATATTATAAAAAAAAACCTGAAGCGATATCCAATCCCAAGCCTCGTATCTCTCCCTCGGCTGTAATAAACCGCCAGCAGTGATGAACGTGATGGCACTTAAGCCTGACTACTTATGGAACGCAGAAGTTATTTTGGAACAATCCTATGCCAGCTAGAAGTCTGGGAAATAAATTCAACAAGACTCAGAATTGCGAGTACACACACTCCGACGCCTAACCATAGTTAGATCGGGAATTAAGCTTGGGGCCAGGTGCTGGAACCAGTTACATCTTCAAACGACATATATATGAGCATAGGAACATAAGAATGTTAATTATTTATATGGGTGTGTGTAGCCTCCGTTGCTAGAGTGACCCAGGAGCTCCACCAGGAGGTAACGGAGCTTCCACACCGTCCCCCAATCCCAACACTACGGGCTCACCATAGCCCGTGCTACTTGGAACTTTTAGTTCCAGGTAGCGAATCTTAAACAACAACAACCCCAACATCTCCCGAGGGTCTGGTCTCGTCATCTAGCATCATGTTTACTAACTCGCACACAAATTAAACTGTCTTCTGAGCAATAATAACCGGAGTGTAGACGTGGACACGAGGTCGAGAGGTCCAAGATTATAATTGCTAAAGATGAATGGCAAACATTAAACAAGAGAAACGTTATCAGTTTAAAGGTGAGCGAGAATACTAGCCAGCCGTTCCATCAGGCCACCACTACTGAACTAACACTATATTCACACTTTACACCAAGCGAACCGACATTCACATGCCAGCTGTTGCACCAAGCGGCATAGCCTACGGCAGGTTTAATTTAGTTTGGGATAACAGTGCTCGAATGGTATTGTGTTGGTACGGTCTCATGGGACCTTGCATCACAATTCACCTGCCTTGGAGACATGCTGCATATAAGCATAGTACATGGTTCCTAGTCCTCACACTTTTTGTTACTGCGTCTTCTCGGTTAGTATTGTTTGGAATTAATAAATATAAATCATAAGTATAAGATGAACACATGTCTAAATTATCCGGAAGAGCAAACTGACTAGTTAAACGACTGTCAACAAACATGAACAAGAAAATTCCCTGACTACTACTGAAGCTGTCATATAAATATAAATTGTCATCCAAACTTCCGTGGAAATAAACATTCCATTTACCCGGGATTTATGAGACTCGAACCTTGTTTCCCACGTGTGTGAGGCCGAAGCTCTATCGATCGAACTATTGAGTAGTCTTAATAACGGATCACTAAGTCCTCTGAGCTTCAGCAGTAGTCAGGGAAAGTCGAAAATTCCAGTTTGGCAGCAGGATGCTTTACGGGCTCACCATAGCCCGTGCTACATGGCCATTTCGTTCTGAGTAGCTAAATCTAAAACAACAACAACAGCAGCAAGATGCTGCTTAACTTTCCAGGGTAAATCTTAAATACGTGAAACCCTTTCTTCTCCCATTGTCGGTCTGACGTTGTCCCCCAACGTCGCCCGATGTGTTTGAGAATGAAAATAATGTATACTTGTGTAAAGGAGGAAATGTATATGTTTATCTCTCAGAATGTTCGGTACTACGTTTATTGTTTGTGATGTGTATCTATGTATGTATTAACACGATGCTAATAGTCCTCTCGTGGTAGTTTAATACAAATGTTTTATAAATATATTTCTGAGATGGTTGTTTACGCGTTGAGATTTTAGCCTATCACTCTCGAGAATGATTAAAGCCACAGCAACTGTAAACAGTACATGACCTAAAAGTATATCCGTAATATACTTATTAAATACAATTAAATTGGAAAGATAACCGACTAGAAAGAAGGCTGAAAATGTAAATGTCAAAGTGATATTTTAAAGCCGATAACGATTATAGGTTATAAATCACAACACCCACACACACACGACTGCTCCCGCATGGGAAATATGTATTTCTTATAATAACGCCCATCAAAGGGCTACGCCGTTCAATGTCAATATGAACCTCCCGTGTACATAAATTTATAAAACTATTTAGGTTCTAAGTCTACATAAACAAGTTTTTGTTAAAAAAAACTTGTTGAAATAAAAGTTAAATAAAAAAATAAGTGTGCATACACGGGCGAGGATATAACACATCCGACACCCGTCTACCAGATTACTATTTACTATTACGATAAACAATTATGACTTCCTTAAAACATATACAATAATGGCAACCAATAACAAATAGAAATTGACATTTCGTATTTAGTTCTCAGTTAACTCTGGGAGCAATCATCATGTTCCCGTGATAAAAAAAACTTTCCCGTCGTGAATTTTTGTTGACAAAATGGGACCGAAAATGACCTGAGACGTAATATAACACTGTAATTAAGAGTTATTGGATGGAATTTTTAAATTTCATATTTGCCTGTGAAGGGAATAGTTACCGTGCTGCAGTGGGTTTCCTGACGTGAAGCTATTAAATCCAGCAATAAAAGATAGCAATGACCATAAAAATCTAACACAAAAATCTAACTTTAATTACAAAGTGGATGAGTTCTTCAAACTTGTTTCTCATTAGTTGCATGCAAAAGGCCCTCATGATCTTGATATCAAATGTTCAGATTTTCCTTAGATATGGTATTTCAACAATCTTTACCTGGCATATGATTTTCCATCTTCAAAGGATTATCTTTACCAAAGACTTAAATTATTACAGGGGGGGGGGTAAATGGGAGGTATCTTGGGAGTGAGGAGGAAGTAGAGAGAGGGAAGAGAGTAGGGGAATGGGGAGTAGGCTGATAAGAGTATATGCACAAAAGATACATACCAAAAGACCAACGGGTCCACGAATGTTATCTGCAAGAGATGGAGAAAAAAAAGATTTTGAACATTTTTCTCTACAAGAATAGAAATGATCCAAGTAGCAAGGAAAGGCTCTCTCCCTACTCCGGTTAACTCGACCCGCTTTAACCCATTTTGGAGGTTTGCGCCTTAGTGAAATAAAAAAATCAATGGAAATCTGACACTCATAATGAGCTATACTTTTATTTGTGCTAATGTTGGAGGCAAGAAGAGTTTATAATGGCCAGGATTCATCAACAACCACTTTCGACCTATACATCTTTCATCAATCTGCCAGTTCTTTTTGAATTCATTAAACAGCTACGAAAAAAACACTTCGAAATTTCACAGTCCAAGGTTATTATTGCTATACCCAACCTCGCGCACTCCGGAGCTCATCAACTGTTTATAAAATGTAAACAAAGCAACCATGATTGAGGAAAGATGTACAGGTTTCGTAAGTGGTTGGGTAAATGCTTGACGAATCCTAGGCGTTGGCCCCTGAGTCTTATCATGATGTGAAATGTTTAGGCTGAGCTAATTTTTATCATTTCATGATGTAATTAGCTTCTGTTTATCCTTCGAATTTTACATATATTGATTTTATATTTAAATTGTTTGTTGTCTCATTTTAGAAACAGTGTATCTTTCAATGTCGTTAAAAGTTTAACAAAATATTAATTTCAATTTATTTTATTAATGCATTATCATGTCATATAAGAGAGAGAGAAGAGAGAGAGAGAGAGAGAGAGAGAGAGAGAGAGAGAGAGAGAGAGAGAGAGAGAGAGAGAGAGAGAGAGAGAGAGAGAGTGAGTGAGTGAGTGAGTGAGTGAGTGAGTGAGTGTGTGTGTGTGTGTGTGTGTGTGTGTGTGTGTGTGTGTGTGTGTGTGTGTGTGTGTGTGTGTGTGTGTGTGTGTGTGTGTGTGTTTAAACTATTCTCATCAAAGCCCGAGAAGCATATTCGCCTGGTGAACATCGGTACAAAATTAATGTTGTCTCATCTCACTCACGCAATTGCTTGCTTTATTAAGGTTATTCAACTCGACTAATTGTTCTGTTATTAGTAAAAGTTTCCACCAAAGGATATGAATAAAGTACGCAGAAACATAATTATTGTAGATGAATTGAGTTTAAAGTTTGTCTAGAAAGCAATACCTACTCGGGTTTGTGCTTAATACTTTGGTAAATGTTATTGATTAACTTAATAAACCAATACGTAAACAGGATTTATTCATTTGACTTGGATATGGGATTTCTTCTGAATTATTTAAGCAAGGCGATATGGCTCTTGACAACTACATATGAACACGACTAAAAAAATAATGTAGCTGAAATATTGACACGTGATTAACTCACGACGCCCGTTGTGCTGTGTTCCATGCTATCATGGTATTGATATCATGGTTACATGGTATCAATTTAAACTCACATGGTATCCAAAAAGTGCCAGTTAAAATTATGACATCAGTGACATTACACACTTCATGAACAGTATATATAAAACACCTAAATTTATCTATTAATTTGATTATGGTAAGGTTAAGTTATAATAGCATAGATCATTACGTTTGACCCATTATATGTCATCAGCGATGACATATAATGGGTTCACTTTAGCCAGTTCTTGAACCCTACTTCATTTAATTAATTATAGATGGGCATCAAAATTCTAACTAAACTGGTTAACCTGATGCTGGACTGAAAACTGGAAATATTTTCACCCACAGGGTTATATGGAACCACCTACCCACCGAAGCCATAAATGCCAAAACTCTCTTTAAATTTTTAAATCCAGCTAGAAAAAATCATCAGGGTAAATGGGGGAAAGGGGGACCTTTTGACAAACCGTCGGCTTCCTGTCATCGTCGAGACAACTAGTGTTAGTGGCCCTCAGGTAAATGATTAATTGTTTGTTTTGCTCATTTCATGCAGCCTATATAACAAATAAATTATGTATAACTAATTAACAGTACAGAACTTACTTCTTGCCAGACACCATGACAACGATGTCGATGTTGTTCGTGTTGTAGTCGAGGGCAGCGATGGGACTAGGGGTCCCATCATTATCCCGTAATTCAAGAACAGTCAACCGGCATAAGATTCAGCGACTGTTCAGATACGTCGGAATGGCCTTGTTAGTAATTAGGATGCTAAAGAGGCGTTGGAGGACGGCAAAACGTGTTTCTACGTCAAGTCCGGCACCATCAAGGAGTGTGTGGGATCGTAAGATGGGAGTTTTGACAAGCCAAGGTGTAGGAAGGAGTCCTGCCGGAGGTAAAACGTGGATGGTGTTGAGGTTCTCTTGTTCCTTCTTGCTGTGGGCACCACCAAGAGGCCGGAGAGTCCATCTGACGACGAAAGAGGTAGCCCAGGAGACTGTGTGTGCAGACATCACTCAGGTCTCCTTCCACGCCGTGCGCTCGTGTTTACAAGTATGAAAAGCTGGCGGAACCGGACAAAACAATAACATTTTCTCCGGAAATTAAACAATGGAAAAAAAATCACTTAAAGTGTAAACATAAATATATGCGTTACAAATGTTACGCGTTTTGTGTACATTTAAATGGTTTAACTCTTCCTCTCCTGTACCTCCTATTATTAACAACTTCCCTCCTGTCACCAACTTTCCCACACTAACTCTTCCTTCTTTACCACTGCAGAGTATCTCTCCCACGGGAAGTGTATCCGGGAGGTGCGGGAGGACTGGGATCGCTGCCACCTTCACTTCAAGTACCTGGTGGGACTCGAACATTCTCGCCCCAACATCACTCAGGTGCAGCGCGACCACAACATCTGCTGGTTAGTGAAGCAAATGGAGACTTCTGCTGCCTGGTATAGTTAATTACACGTGTTTGTAGTCTGCTGGCTTGTAAGTGGTGCGTTTACCTCGTCTGGTTATTAGAGTGCATATTTACGTTGCTGATATGTAAGATGTGTACATTGCAATGGTCGAGAAAGTGTGAAAGTTTATTGGTCCCCGTGGCGCAGTGATAACACACTCGCTCCGCACTTCGTTAACGATTAGGCCTGGGTTCGTATCCCAACCCGTCCTCTTACAAATTACGTCGTTTTTCGCTCGTAAGCGCACTCGGTTAAAAAAAATGGGGACATAATTCAAACTGAAATCGGCTCACGAGTGATGTACTCTCCCGTTTTCTGTTTTAGGTCCTCTGGCTTAGGCTGTTAGGTTTGGAGAGGATACTTTAAATAAACAGGTTTCATGACGTTTTGAAATTTTGGGAGAACTTCCTAACAGGGTCCTAACTAACCAGAGGACCCTTAACTTGTTATTTTGGATTTTTTTTTAATGAATTTTAATTTTGAGTTACGTCGATATTTGGCCCTAGCGCATACGAGCGAAAAGCAACGTAATTTCTAAGAGGACGGATTGCAATCCCGGCCAGGGAGGATTGACTGGGATTTATCACCAATCCTTAACTGTAGCCTCTGTCCACCCAGCAGTGAATGGGTACCTGGTTGTCAAACGATTTGGCGGGTTGTATTCCAGGGAAAATTAGGATTAAGAACTTGCCCGAAACACTATGCGTGCTAGTGGATGTACTAGAATGTAAGAACTCTTGTATTTATTTAAAAAAAATTAGTCGTGTTTATGTCTTAACTACTAAAGATCGTGTTCAGGATACTCGACTGCTTGCAAAATTTGCTAATTTAGTAAGGAAGATTTACCAATGTTTACAGGTTAAAGACTTTGCAAATGCACTGTTCAATACTATCAATGTGTACAAGTTAGCTGTTAGCATATAGGCCGCGTTCATTTTTTCACATAACCTAAAATAGAGATTATCTTGTTAATAATATAATCTGTTTGTTACACCTTAACTAATACAGTCAGGTGTACATGTTTCTCATTGCCAGTATAACAACTGAAATATTACTAAAATTTAAGTTTGAGATGGTTGAATTAATTGATTACTGTATTATCACCAGACATTTTTTTGCAAATTCAAATTTATTGCCTTGTGTTTGCAACCTTGGCTTTCATAAAAAATATCTAACTACAGTATTTGTTAAGCCTTCATTTAATAAGGCACAGTTCAATCAACCCTCAACACATATCTACCAAGTATACTGGAGATTATTGACGATTCTGTATACAGGTGCTGTGTACAAAACAATCAATATTATTAATCATCACATTTGCAATACAGTAATTTTAATTTGTTTCTATCCAACAGTATTCGCGAGAAGTTCCTGAGTTGTGTGTACAGGATGAGCTACCTCACTTGCGGCAAGCTGCAGGCGGTATTCCTGAAAAAGATGACGGCGACACTCTCGTACAGCGACGTCCACCAGGAAAAGTGTAGACATGTCACTCTTCACGTCTGTTCCTCTGGTCGACCAGCCCTCCATATTGAACCTTCCACCCTGCACAGTTTAGTTATGCTTCACCTCCTCTTGTTCTCTGTATACTAACTTTATTTTTCTATTTATATCTCTACTTCACTTGTAAATTTTATCGATGATATATTATATACAGTACTGTACTTGAAAAAGAATTGGTATCTCCAAACACATGCTGTCTGTCTGTCTTACAATTACTGGAAACTATTTTGGCAAACACACATCAAAATCGATTTTCAGTACTACCAACAGTAAAGATATTTGTCAGTCATCCAACTTTTGAAAAGGTTATGACACCGTCAATCTTCAGGCTTTCAGAATAACCTCTCAATTATGTTAGTCAAAACCATAGCTTCATGCATCTATTAGTGACCTAGTCTTTCAAATTTACAACACTAATAATTTTATTGTTACTAGCATTCTGTAATACCAGATCAACAAATAAATACATAAATAAATCTCTCACACAAATATACATACAGTATATATATGAGAAAGCCAAGGTCTAGAGGTGAACAACCTTGACATGCATTTGAGACACCAGGTTTAATTCTCTGACAAGACAAACAATTGGGCATCATTTCCATACACCTGTTTACCTAGCAGTAAATAAGTGTGCACGCGTGTGCGTGTGTTAATATATACCCAAGAAAATAAATTACAAGAAACCATCAGTTTCAACTGTTTATTTTTACACCTGTGGGTACAGGACAGGAGCAGACGGCTTCTGACTTGTTAGAAGATAGACAGCTTTCCTTTCCCATAGCTCATGGTGAACCTTCTAGTAATCTTCCCAGGAACACAACCCACCAGCTGGTTAACAACCACGTGCCCAATTACTGTTGGGTGAATGGAACAGTTATAGACCAGCACCCAGTCAATCCTACCTAGCCAGGACTCAAACCCAGACTTTGAGGTTTGCAAACCCAGGCTTGCGAGATGCAGGGCATTATGCTGAACTTTCCAAATGATTAAAAACAGTGTATGTCAATGGCACTAGAGTTTCACATCTGGGGAAAATGAAAAGATATAAAATTTAGTAGGCACCCCAATAACAGTTTGCATAGAAAGCTCCTACTTGATAAACCTGCAGTACTTTCTTAACTATGTACAACTTTAAATAAAAAATATGAAAAGAGAAAGGCTGAGAAAATGGAAGAGACAAGGTGCATGTGTGCGAGCAAAATACTCCATATTTTCCCAAAATTTTTATGATTTTTGGTCCTCAGAATAGTGTTGTTTTACACATTTAAGAGTTTTAATTTTCCCCACAGACTTCATCATTCGAGAGAGTAAATGTTGATCACACCACAAATATTATTGGTTTTATTTTATTTATTATTTTATAAGTCAGGAGCATGAACGGTGGCACTTTCTAAAGAACTTATAATTTTATTTCCCCCCCAAACACAACATGAAAATGAAAGTGTAAATTCACTGCAGTACCAAACATGAAATTCCCACATGTCTAAGTTTTACGGTAAATAAAAAATGGGAAGCAAAGTGCATGGTACATACATAGACTTGGTGCTTATTTCTCTGTGAAATAATGGCACTGATCATTCATAAACAACCACAGCTAGGATAAATTAGATCTACAGAGAAGTATTTACTGGACTTGAGAAAGAAAAACTCAAAGCATGAAAGAAAAGGATTCACTATTGTAAGTACAGAAAACTTTTAAGTACATTTAACTTTATTCCCTTAATCATCAATAGGTTTTGTAGTGACCCTTATGTTTTAACAATAAGCAGGGCACTTTGGCCTAATGACTTCCAATAGATCAGAGATGGTTAAGCCTAACTGGTCAAGAACCTGTATAACCTATGACTTTCTTTGGGTAAAATATGAAAAATTTCATTGAATTCTGATCATTAGTGTCCAATTGTATAGTGGACAGAGAGACAAACTTGGATTTATTCATATAGGCAAAAGAGGAGGATGTATTGGACAGGATAAAGATGAAGGAAATAAGAATATAAATGGAGTACATTTAGAATGAACCTGACACAATGAATGTGGATTATTAGATTGATGAGGAAGGTGTCAGTGTGGTGGTTATCGGGGCCAGGAAGATATTATCTTTTGATTATTCATTTAGTGTACATTGTATGTAGGTTTTAAAGTAGTCACCCACCAGCAATTCAATATATTCCTAAAATCACTTGATGGACCAAACACAAAATATCTTACTGCCACATGACATACAGCACTATAGAAAATAGTTCAATACACTTGATTACAATGACCTACATTTTATTGAGTTTCACTTACACTTCTAAATGTAATAAGCATAATGTCTGATCAAGGCTAAATAGAAGTACAGTATAAACATAGTGGCAAATTTTGTTTAAATTTATAAAACTTAATTCAGGGACTGGTAGATTTGCTTGAAATATGAATACAGTATACTGTACTGTACTGCAGTCTTCTCAGTCAAAATTTTATAATACAGTATACTTTATACTATATATTATTTTAATTACCTTTTATCCAAATGTTGTAAAATAAAAAGACAAAAATACCTAAACAAAAATTATAATATACACCTATTTTTATATAATAGGACTGAACTTAAGACTGTCGATTGAAGAATACAAGGACTTGAGAAGATTTTTGAGAAGTATGACTTCGTCTTGAAATTAACTTTCTAAGCTCACCTAGTTAATGTATCCAAGACACCGAAAAAGCTGCAGATGGAGTCAACTTCCTTGAGGTCACAAATGGATATGCACCTGGAGAGTCAGCTTAAGCTACATGCATCTAAGCTGGAGTCAGATATTCCAATGCTTTCTCACAGAGCAATCTCAAAAATGTTTTAACATTACTGTTTCGACCCACTGGTACATTCTCGACTGTAAACGTTCCAAGCATCTCAACGTCCTGCTCGGTGACACCTGCAACACTCTTTAAAGGTCCATTAAGTTTTCCACAATTTTATAATTAAAGGTTACCTTTCTTTCTATGCTGTATACATTAATTAGATTTTCACAAAAATATTTGCATTTTGCAGTACTGTATACAGTATTTAATAACATTTCAATACAGCCTTATTGGAGTGCAGTCCCAGATTCAATTTCTACACTGGTAGAGACTGTAAGGCATGTTCCTTACACATGATACCTTTGTTCACCTAGCAGTAAGTAGGCACTCACAAGTTAAAGCAATTATTGCAGGTTGCATCTTGGGAAATGTCATTTACCTAGGAAGGCCTAATAGACAGACTTCCTGTTCCTGACCAAGGGAAATAACATGGCATCAATATCAAAGTTTAACAATCCCAATTATAGAGTTAAATTGGTGGATTTGTCACTGTTCACTAAGCTTTAGTATTAGTATGGGCAGCTTTTTCCTTGAAGCCATGTTCCAAATTACTTTGGATAAATTAGTATGAACTTTTTACACTAATAATGATGTGCATGTGACATGATAACCATGTATATAAATATATATCACTTAGTAACATTGAATATTTAAACCTGACTAGCAACACTTGTAAATTCGTGTCCACCTTCATGCAATCAACTTTTGATTTATTAATTACAAGCCACAATGAAAAGATATGATCAATTATTTAAAAGTAAATAATTATCAAAAGAAGGCACCAAGCCAGGAAGAATATGTAGCTCAACTGTTTAAAAGCATAACACATCTCAACGATATTCAGGCTTTCAAAATGACAAATCAGCCTTATTACTACTTCCTAACAGATCTCATTGACTTTCCCACAGACCAAACTTCCCTTCAGTAAAAGTTTCATTTTTCATTAACTCTTAAAAAACCAGTATTTTAAAGAGGTATGGGTGAATATTTAGTTCTGATTCACAGTGGGTGTATTTAGACTGTTGATTAGAGGAATCTGTTATATAATGTAAATCCAGATTTTGTAGGATGAATCATGTATATGTACGTACGTATGTACATAAAGTGCACACATCAGTAACTCCATTACCCACTTTCATGGTGTGATAAGGCAAAAGCCCAGAGAAAAAAAGAAAAGGCAAGTAATATAGTAAAAAGTAATTATCAAAGAAGGCATCAAGCTGGGAAGGCTATAGTAAAAGAAGGTTACAGACATTAAATACAAATTTTTTAAATACTGTACGTATCACACTTCCATTCATTATCATTCAAAATACAATAAACAGTACCAGGAATAGGTAAGCACTAGAACACTCCAAAAGCCCTCCAACGTTTCATTAGATTAGGTGTACAGTGCTCGCTATGAATTCATTTATGAACATATTTATTCCTTTAAGAATTGCTTCCACTCAGCCTTGCATTTTAAATCCTGCGTTATCCATAATCGTTTCCATCTTCCCAACACACACACTATATGTCTACACTTTCTTTCTAGCCTACTTCATCTCAAATTAACTTTAATCTACAGTACTAGTTTTTTCCCATCATCATCATCTAATTGTTCAACTTGTACAAGTATCTCAGTGTGCTCCACTCAATCTTTCAGTTAATTGGCTTTGACAGTACACACACATTTTCATTTCATATTTTAGCACTGCACACATACTTCTCAGATTATCCATTTCTTTTGCTCTACCTTGCTATTTCCCATTCATACCATACGTTTATCTAGCAACCATACACAAGTCGCTAACCCATTCCATGAAGATTTGTGCACAAATTTGAATTTTTATGAAAAAATTTATTTAAATTTTTCAGTTGTCTCCAATACACCTCAATAAAATTTGTAATTGGTCTACATAAATCTCTTCACATTGCTAAATAAAGTCATAAACATACTGTACATCTAATTTAGGAAGCAAATTATGCACATCTAGTTCTCGGATTGTACTAGGTTTACACCTTTTTAAAATATTCTTGCTTTTAAACTCCCTCGTGGCCCCATTCATACAGTATACTATATACAGTATCCTGAACCACATCACACAACCCTGGTGTGCACCTCCATTAACAGAACCAGTTCATTTTATACACCATTAACTTACACACACTCATTAACTCAGATAAACACTTCAAAGTTTTTAACAAACTCCATCGCTATACATTTTCATTTTAATCAAATGCTTTTGAAGCCAATAGAGGCAACATATATCTTTCTCATGTGCCTTCTCAATCTGTCTATACAATTAATTGATCTACATCCCCTCTTCCACTAGAGGGAGATGTATGATTTATTCCTATCATACATAAATTTCATACCATTTTTTATCATTACCTAAACCATCCTCATGACTCCATCCAAACATTGTGCAACCATGGAGACATCACGCAAGCATGTAATACACCAACAATATCATACAAGTCACTCATTACACAACTGAATGAGCACTAATAACATTGCACATTCTCGGTGTGGCAGTATTTAGTGTGGGAAGAAGTCAGTAGGAATAAAGCCCTCAAGCTGTCATAGGTAGATAATATAACCTACCAAATACTGTATCTTCAATGAATACAAAATATACAGAGAGGTTATGCTCATTTGGGGTAACTTGAAACCAGAGAGAATTTAACTTGAAATAAGGATAAGAAATAAGTGAAAACACATGACATCCAGGTGGCATTAGAAGTTTAGTTTTATGGAGAATGTCTTATGAGCTTCAAATGTGCCCATATTATTTGGTGTTAAAAGTGTTAAATTTATAGCAATATCTAAATTATTTGTAAATATAATTTAGAGAGTTGGTGCATAATAGAAAAATCATAATACTGTATAAGGGTAAGACAAAAAAGTCACTTGTCACTGTCATATTTTGAAAATAATAATGTACATAACAGGATTGCCTTTACTCGTTTCATTATACATAAAAACAAATTTTCAAAAATACTTTACATGGAAAATCCAGAACATTGGTATGGCCACCAAACAATAAAAAATTATAATTTCAAAATTTACAACATAACTAAAGAAGTCAAAGGTGCACATTTATTACAAATTCTTGATAAAAAACGTTTTAAATTTTAGTTATAGTGGACTGTGTCTGGTAGTAAATTAAACACAAACCTGGTGTGCTTCACCTTTACTATCAAGAGTATCATTATGCCTGCTATACAGAGGATCGGACAAGTCTACCACAGCAGCAAGGCCCAAATTCTTCGTGTGATGTACAAAATTTGTTGGCCTACTGCACCCTTGGCAAGGTTAGAGGCATCTTAATATAAGACAATGTTAGCCTGATTATGGGAGACGCTCCATAAGCAGGGTTGAGGCCACCCGACCCACTTCTGTGCTCACCTCCACCTACATCCCTGCTCGACTTTTTTTTACATACAATATTTGCATTGTACATAGAATCTTTCCATGTGATGCCACACCAATGCTGGAACACATGTAGTTAATCCGACACAAAGCGTTAGCGTAATAGAAGCCAAACAGGGAGAGCAGGTGGTGGTGTCACATTACTTGCCGTCGATAACACTATTGGCTGGTGGAACAGAGTCACAAGGGGGAGACATAAATGAACGCTACAGTTGTGTCACAATGAAAGAACCTACTAAACAAAGGTGCATATCTAAAATTGAGTAAAAATAAATTATATAATCACTGATGCATACGTATGACATCTTATAGATGTGGCTAAATATACAGAAAAACACAGTGCCTAGTAGCCTCAATAAAGTAAAGGGGACGTAACATCACTGCTCAAGATAAATCCTGAAACAGCGAGCGGTAAGAGGAAGTTTATTGATAAAAGGTAGAGCAAAGGGGATAGGGAGGGTAGAGGGATTGTACTTGGTATACAGCCAGCTGGACAGGGTTCTACTGACTTCTAGGAGGGCCTGCATTTAGTATACAATTTTAATGATGGACAAAATATTGCAATCAGGCTACAAGGCTAATTGTATGTTATATAACACCAGCCCTGTTTTATTTGAATTTCCACAGTTGGTACGTTTCAATACTGCATCTTCAGATCACTCAAAAAATAAAATAAAAAAATGCGTTTGGTATCTTGAAGGATCCTCTCCCTTTCAATAAACATAAAATAGATATAAATTATGTTCCAGTATTCTGTAAATGACTGGTGTCTTTTTCAGCAAGAAGGTTTTTACTCATACTTCAAATATATATATAATTTAAAAAAGCAAGTAAACTATGATAATAAATGAATATATATATATATGTGTGTGTGTGTGAAAAGAAACCAAAACTTTTCAATGGTAGCTTGAAGAGTTGCAGTTTCTGTGTTCCAACCTACGGAAAACTACCAAATTGCTCCATCAGTATCTCAAAGCCAACATTTTACATTTCAGGGCTGATGGGAAACCAACTTCATTGAGTGGTGCAATATTTACATAACTATTAAAATGAATGTTTAGAAAAGAGCCATCCCGTTGTGCACGATGACACAACACCGCAGGTCATCAGGGCATGTGGTCCTTGGTACCAATATTATCCCAAGTTCTGCAGCAGTGCTGGTAGAATACACGTTGTATAGTCACTTCTCATGCAGGATAAGTCATAGGATCTCTGCTTCCTCTTACAAATATTTGTGGTTTGAGCAGTTAAATCAGCAAAAGAACATATGATTCCTCCAAATGTCCCCTCTCAGCAATATGTACTATCATGGACATTGAGAGGATTAGCAACCATCTGTCTTTATGTACACTCACATCAGAACCACTGGACACAGTCATCATACTAAGACACTTGCACAGAGATTACTGGTTCCTCCAATCAGTCTCTTTGCATCATCAGAGCTGAATGAACCAACTAAAATTCAGTCCTTTATAATCAAGAGTCAAAAGCACTTCTGGTCAAGATTGGGGCCGGTAACCCCATAGGCGAACCCTGGTATGTGCACTGCCCACCCTCAACCCTTGCCTCAATTGACCACTCATGTGCTATGGTGACACTACGCTGGGTAAGGACCAGGTGAGTTGATCTGGAACATTTCTTTAACAGTTGTCATTTAATGGAGACATCTTTGGTATCTGCCCTGATGCTGATCACCATAATGAAGTGCATATATGTGAATGGTCAAGTGAGAGGATGGGAAACTGCTCCCTGATACCATGTGGTTCTCCTGCTTGGGTAACTTGGCCCAATCAGACAAACTGACTTTCTACCAGAGAGAGGGCTGAGGGAGCAGTTGTAGCTCTTCTCGTGTTCATGAGTTGAGCCATGGGTGTTTGAGGCACTCGCCAGCAGTAGCTCGCTCTGATGTGTCAAATGCCAGCATAGGGTTGAGAAAATCACTAAAAGCCCGAGCCTCCTCTTCAGGCCACTCATATTTCTCTGTCAGCACCTCAAACATGCCCCATGGACGGAGCTTTGTGATATGCTTAAGGTCACCTAGAAACACAAAGTAAGTAATTATATTATATATATATATATATATATATATATATATATATATATATATATATATATATATATATATATATATATATATATATATATATATATATATATATATATATATATATATATATACACACACACACACACACACACAAGTGTATACTGTGTACAATCACACTTTAAAGGAAAATATTTGCATGTAGGTTTTATACAGTGCATTCAATTTGTTTTTATGTGGATATACAGCTTTTAAAAAACTGGTGCTAAAATATTCACAACGTTAAATAAACAAAACATTGAACTTCATGTGGTTACTATACACTAACATAATAGCAAGGTAACACTATAATAAATCATACGATGTAGGGATTTGGCAACTCTTGCCGCATACTGCTATTCGACGCAATTAGATCTGCCTCTCCAATGAAAATGGGGTGGAGCAGATTGACAACTTATGTGAGGCCTGCAACTAACTGCAACTTGGGCAACAAAAGCTAGTTAATGAGGCACGTTTGCAACATTTAAATTTCAGAGGGAAATGATTGCACTGCAATTGCATGTAATTTTTGCAATGACACATGAAAATGAAGCAACAGAATGTGCTGGTTCTGTGATAATATGTAATGAGTAAGATATGATGAACGTATTAGTGCCATTAATCATATATGTATACAATCTTTTCCTATGCTATTATGATCCCATTTTTTTCTGGGCCAATGCCTACCCACCCCTACAAAGTAGAAAATTGGCTAATAATGACTTGTTTTATAATTAACAATCTAATACAGTATTTCACCAGTTATTTATCATAATTATCTCATGTTAATCAGGAAAATACAAAAATTGAGTTTATATTTCTTCCCTTACCACACTAATCAATGTGAAAATCCGTAGGAGCAATGATGAGGGTTCGAACCTATGCGGTGGGTGTTCCCACGCACACGCTCTAGTGACTAGACCCCGACATGGTCTAGTCTCTAGATGCGTGTGTGGGGGAACATCCACGTAGGTTCGAACCCTTATCACGGCTCCTATGGATTTTCTTATTGATGCAGTCACATTAGTGCGATTACTCTCTGAACACTAATCAATATTAAAATAATATTTTTTCCATGTACATACCCTTTTTATCAAAGAATTCCTTTGAGTATTTGCCAGACTGAGCTATATGGCGTGGAATTTTCCCCAGGAGTTCAATGATGTGTGCTAAATGGTCCTCATCACGTGTATAGTCAGCCCCACTGTGTGGCTCAAACAGGTAATCTCCAGTTGCCAATTCAAAAGCCTGAAAAATAATCTCTCATTGTTGGAGCAGAATTTAATGTTATAAATGTAATTTTATTTATATAAAAATTTAATTATTATTTATATAATCTGTGAACATAAACATTTGGGCCATCACAGCAACATAAGGATGAGAAGGTCAGTAGTGACTTATCAGTGAGTATTGGGGAGCGAGATCTACCGATGATTCTCTATGCTAAGAGGCGGTAATGCCTCCTAGCCATTTACTCTTGGCACACTATGTATCTCCATGTTTAAGTTCCTCATCATATTTCTTAAAATTGTAGATACAATTTCTTCCTTGAATGCATTACACATGCCAACCACTTGCACCAGGTATGAGGTACCTAGTACTTTTACATCTGATGCATGTTTCTGGAGGTGGCTAGTTTATTGTGCACCCCATGCTCATTCTGAGCGTGATAGTGCCAAAAAGTGTTACAGAGGGCACAAAAGGTCTTCTTCAAACCTTGGCAGAAATTTTGACATTAACAATTACATCTAACCTGCACACCTTATAATTATAATGTGAGCTAGAAACAAAAGAAATTTGTATTACAATATGAATGTATTTACAATAAATTATTATACGTTCCAGGTAGGTATTTTACCGATACATAAAATATTTTAGATATGGGATATTACAGGATCATAGAATAGTTGCTGGTTATTATTATTAGCCTTCACATTATACGGCTTATTTATTAGTCTCCTATATGTCATTTATCTACTAGAGGTGAAATATGGATTCAGTGCAAGGATTTCAGATATTTTATCCTTTTGTAATAATATAGTTTGCCATTTCATTCAGCATGATTTTAGATTTAACTCCAAATAAAGGTAAATGTCTACACACTTGTTGCCTATAAATGGCAAATTTGTAGCAAGCCATATTCCAGCTGTGACATCTGTTATTCTATTCATTTTGTTACTTGTCCCATACAGATCTTCTGTTTGATATATTTCATTTTGATCTGTTTGTTCCACTTTACACTATTCTACTTTCTTCAAATTCATCCGAGTTTTCATCTAATGTCACGTAAGGGTTCTATCCAAATTCAATAGCCCAAGATTACATTCAACATTATCCATATTTACTGCAAGCTTAGCAAGAGCAACAACTTTATCATGTTCCTGCAGTCCAATGTGACAGGGAATCCTGGTGTTCTAGTTCACTGTTATATTTGCATGAGAATCTGCAGTTGGGTGTGGCTTCTATAACAATTCTACTTTTTGTACTTCCCACTTGACTACCACTTGACTTCTTACATCTATCTGATGTAATTACATTTCTAGCCTTCGTGTCCTCTTGTACTATTATCACTATTTGAAACAGCCTATCCCTATCTACCTTGTCTATTCCTATCAGCATCATCTTTAGTAGCTTATGTCTTCCCTTTTCCAGTAAGTTGTTAGGTTGAAGTCTTCTATGCATTTTCAAAGTTTAATTATTATTTCAGTAATTGGGTATAAATCTGTTTGTAACAGACACAGACACATTTACTTTATACACTCTTACATCCATCAGCCATTGCTTTAAGGAATTTCCATAAAATTAATTTTTATGCAAATAATGACATAAAAACCACTTGACATTAAAATCAAGCCCTGAAAAGAAATTTATAGCTGGTAAACATATATATAGCAGGTAAATTTATATAGCTGGTAAACAAAAATATATAACTACTGTACTATAGAAATCCTAAGTAACACCTATACAATCAGATATGGTTTCAAATTAAAATAACACTAACCATACAGGCTGTACTCCAAATGTCTGCAGGCGCTCCATAACCAGCTCCCAACAGCACCTCTAGGCACCGATACTGCCTCGTCTGAATATCTTCCGTGAAGTGATGGTCAACCCAGCAGGCATTACCCAAGTCAGCAATTTTAACTTTCATATCGCAAACTTCATGGACAGGATCAGGAACCCGTTCAATAGCTTTGTGGTCAGGACAGGATGCTACTCTGCGCATTCCACTCCCACTACTGCTGGTTCCCCCACTGTAGTTAGTGAAGTTGGCACCAACATCATCACCATCTGTGAGGATTTACACACTTAAGCCTTAGAGAACTATATATATTGTTTCCAATAAAAAGAATCTTGAATAAAGTTACATAATAATTATGAGAGCTCAAATTTAATCTCAAGACCGGTTACTTTACTTTTCCAGGTATATTTCTAACTTTGATATAGTAAGAAAGTGACAATGCTTAATGTAAACATAAATGAGACAATGTAAATATTAGCACCTTCATCTTCTGGGGGAAGCCTCATATCAGGAGTAATCTCAGACTCTGAGCGGCCTAATGTGGGACGGGGGCTGTCGTGGCCATTCATGAGTGGGTCAAGTGAGAGACCCACTGCCCCACCCGGCCGCACATCCCCCTCACACATCTCTGCTAGACTCTTGCGGTGTTCTGCAGGCCAATCACAAAACAAATGTTAATCATGCATCTATTGCTACTCACATTAGTTCTAAAATTTACAGAATATGTAGCATGGATAGGGGAATAAGTTTAAGTTTAGGTGTGGGGTAAAATAATGATCAGCAATTTTCAAATATTAGTTAAGGTATCTGAAGCCATATACAGTATCTCTTTAATGCATATTAATCAAGCTAAAAAGATATTTAATTACATTCCTCACTAGTTTAGTAATGAATTATTACAAGTTTTTTGAATACTCAATTCCTTTGATTTTCTCTCATACTAAAAAAATGCCTATAAAAGTGCTATACAAAATTTCTTTGAAGAGGTACCAGAGAAAAGGAACACATGCTTTTATGGCATGAACATATATAGCTCGGATTTGCACTCGATCCCCCTAAACATAATGAGGTGTGGTGGCTTCTTTCTGTGATTTATGTTATGGGATATAGTCAGGTCCCTCTTACTGAGAGAGTAAGAGTGGAAATAAAAAACCCAATAATATACACAAGTGCATGTATGTTAATGGAAACAATGGATACTTGTGTACTCATATTTGTCCATTATTGTTTAAAATGGGAAAAGAAGTAGAATTCTAGGAAATGCAAATAATAAAGCATTGAATGTAATAAATGCCTCTTTCTGGGTCGCCTCAGTAACATCACAGTGCATTGGCTCTGGAACCAAAAAAACAGCCACAAAAGCATCAGGCCTCTGGATTTATTCAAGCCTACCCAGCACCAGGACCAGAATTTGATGTGTTCTTAAGAGGCAAGGGAAGCTAAGGTACACAGGATCACCTCAAAACACAGTAAAACTGCCTCAAAGTACAGGTGAAGCAAAACGAATTACATTGCCTTGATGAAACCAAAAACACAAAGATGGGAAGTTTGCCCAGTGCTAACAAACCAAGCACACGACCCAATGATGGAAGAAACAAAATGGGCAGTTTCTTTCAGCCTGATGCCCCGTTACCTAGCAGTAAATAGGTACCTGGGAGTTAGACAGCTGTTACGGGCTACTTCCTGGGGATGGGGAATGGTAACAGTTGATCGATCGATTGATTGATTAACAGTTGAGAGGCAGGCCGAAAGAGCAGAACTCAAACCCCGCAAGCACACCTAGGCGAATACTAGGTGAATACCAGAAGACAGCTTACCTCATCCAAGGGTTCAACTTGCCTGACAGTTTCACTTTTGTGGCACAACCACCACAAAAAAAAAAAAAAATACTGGAAAGAATGGCAAAAAAAAGCAGGTAGAGAGAGCTAATGAGGTTGACCAGAAAAAGGAAATTTCATTATATGCAACATTTTATTTCTGGGCTGCCCCTTACCAGCTCCCCAGTGAATACTTACCGTGAATGGCATCTCTAAGTGGAAACTCACTTAGGGCAAAAAGGAACAGTAATAATGGTACAATACAAGCAAAGATGGAGGCCCAATTTGCAGGTTGAAAAGACAAGAAACCAAGGGCTCAGGGAGAATTAACCGACTGGAATGACATTCAAGCATCACAGAGGCCCAGTGAGGATGAGGAACATTTAAAACTAACTAATGAGCAGTCAATACACTGTTAGCCTGCTAGAAACCCAGATCTTGAATATTGTAGCCCAGAGCTGTAGTCATAATTAAAAAAGCAGGCAGTAAGACTTGTGCACATGTTCATGAAGATACATATCAAAGGAAGGCTGAACCTAACCACCCAGTGAGATACACTGGCTTTTAAACTAGGCACAAGATATCTGAATTCACAAAAAGATGCAACAGCTTGAGAAATTTCAGTAATGATGCCACACTGCAACAACCAGACAGAAGACATGATGCACCTTTGGCCGGACAGGCGCAAATATCCAGCTCCAAGAACATCTACAAGATGAGAAAGACAACTTTAGGGAGGAGAAAGAAGAAACCACCACAACAATAGTAATAGAGGCTCTGTCTAGATCTTTCTCAATGGGAGGGGGGGGGGGAACAGCACTGGGCACACTCCACAAATAATCAAGACAATGCTTGAAACCACTGGCACTATAACCTTATTTTACCATATTACTATTTGAAGTATTGACTGATGGCCTCCCACCCCATGCAAGTAGGAAAAGGATACCTAAAATGAATGAATGTTTACATGCAGTTACAACAATGACATACAGAGCAACTGTTTTTTTAATAGAAAGACAACTCAATCGGGACATGCATGTCCAATAGACGTTTTTATTTGGCAATGCAACACCAAGAGCTGAAAAGTCATAATATGAAGCAAGGCTAATCTGCTCATAGATATATAAATGATCAGCCAGAACACTATCTTCTAAAGAAGAATATTTTTATACATTATGGCAGGTTTTTTAATCTTAGATGAAATATTTCATACTATCTCTGCCTTATGTGAAATGACTTCTTCGTGCATGATATGCAATTCCTTTGGAACCTAGGTGTACAAAAGCATATATTCCTCAAAGTCTGCCTAACACAGACACTGAATGTATCCAAATATTAATAAAGTGTATGTCTGCAACATTTTAATGGAAAAAGATGAAATTAAGAGGGTTGATATAGATTCTGTTTTAAAATATAAATGCTGGACATGAAACAGAAGCATGGACATAATATACAGGTACATGTATTTCCTGCCAATTTTGAAGTACAGTATATCTGCTGAAACAAACTGCAAGCTAGTTAATTAACACTTTCGCCCGAGCATGACGCAGCATTGCGTCATCCGTTTACTGTCGGTAATTCCGGGGATGACGCAGCATTGCGTCATCCACTTTAAATAATTGCCAAAAATCAGGTTTTTATCCGATTTTTTTGGGACTGGTTTTAAAATGCGTGCCGATGTCTTCCCATTTTCTTTGTTGAGCCTCGTGGCCCTTAGGCGGCTTGGCACATGCCGTGGGCCCATTGTTTTCACTCCACTGTTGTGACCAATGTCGCTTCCCCTCGCATCTCAAACGTGTGAACATTTCGGCTATTTTCCGTGGCTATATTTCTTACTGTGGCTTTAGAAACTATCTACGCTTACTCCATGATGGATAGTGATCACGAACAAGGCCCTTCCAGGAAGAAAATTGCGAAAGAAAGGCTTGAAAAGGGCGGGAATTGAGAGTGTAGCTGGAAGGCGTCTGACCGCTCACTCACGGCTAACGCTTGGCCCATCTTCAACTCGTCGGCGGTTGGAGCGTGACCAGGTTTTTTATTTTATATGCTAATGTTCCTCTAGAGAATTCTATTGCGAACCCATTGAGACCAAAATGAAAGACCTAGGACGAAAATTGAGGTGACCAGAGTGAAAATAGTGAAAACATTTTATCGCGTTTGCGCGCTCCTGGGTAACTCGTTCGCACTTTCTCTGTTAGCTGCGGGTAATTAGCCGGGCTTTTGGAGTTTATATGCATTTAGTGCTGTAGAGAATTCTATTGCGAACACAATGATACAAAATTTAATCTTGTAGGACGAGAATTAAGGTGACAAAGTTGAAGAGAGTATACACTTTTCAGAATTTACTCGCGCTCCCGTGACACCCTGGGACCCAAATCGCACAGTTGAGGGGTGGCGCACGGGGTACGCCAAAGTGTTTAAAAAAAAAAATTGGTTTAAAAGAGAATTTCCTTCCACCAACCTAGTAGTTTCAAGAACAAGACCCTTTGATTTATATTGTTATATCTCTATGCCAGGCAATGGTTCAAAATACTACCATAGTAGTGAAAATTACCACTCTTCTTAACTTAATTTAAATAAACTTGTTAAGCTTCCATTCATTAGATTATTTCCGACTTGTATTTGAAGATGGAATTGGATGCAAGACATCAAAGCACCAACATTACATGACCAAACAAAATATAACGTTACAACTGAACAGCTTTCATCTGTTACACACCAAGTTTTTGCTGAGCTTCTTCTTCTAAGGTAAGATTAGGAGTGATGAGGCAAGGCTGTGGATGAGGTATAAGCGGAGGATGTGGCTGGGTGGGTGTTAACTCTGGTTCCTGAAGCTGTGGTAGTTGTTGGTCTTGAAGCTTCAAAGGCACCTCCTCAATACTCTTCTGCTTTTCTAGTTGCTGCCCGTTAGTTTGCGGTGTCATGCAAGACTCCTCTATGCTTGAGTCATTACTTAGCACTGGAATTAAGTTAGAAGACATGTTATAAATGATGGGTTAGCTTTCTAAATGCCACACTAATTGTTATTTTCAAATTGTTAAAAAGGGTGCAAAACATTGTACAAAAACACAACAAAATATGACCCTCAAATACAGATTTCAAAAGCCACACTGTACTTCAATAATCATGGCAGTTCAAAAAATACAATAATGAACAGCAAAGTAATAAATTATGTACCAAGTTATGCAAGGATGTGAGATGACTGCAGTATGAATATGAAAAGAATTAGACCAGCAGAAATGAACAATATGAGAAGCCTATTTCGTATTTAGAACTAGAGACAGAGTAACAATATATGACTGAGGAGAGGAAACCAAGAGGGTTTGACCATGATGAATGTATGGATGATGGGGGTACCACCTGAAGTACATTTATAGGGACCCATAGCCTCAGAAGAGAATAAAGGGTATTAAGAGAAGACCATGTAGATTCTTCCTCGACACTTCTTCTACCTTCCCAACTTTATTATTTTATACAATATGATTTATTTATATTACAAGTGTGTTTACAGAACACACACACACACACATCTATATCTTACAAAAGAGTAAGGAGAGACATGATAACCACCTACAAAATTCTCAGAGGGAATTGACAGGGTGGCCAAAGAAACTATTTAGCATAGTTAGAACACAAACAAGGGGACACAGATGGAAACTTAGTACCCAAATGAGCCACAGAGACATTAGAATTTTTTTTAAGTGTCAGTAGATAACAAATGGAATGCATTAGCTAGTGATGTGGTGGAGGCAGACTCCATACACAGTTTCAAAAGAAGATATGATAGAGCCCAATAGGCACAGGATTCTGTACACCAGTTGACAGTTGAGAGGCAGGACCAGAGACAAAGCTCAATCCCCACAAGCACAACTAGGCGAGCACAGCTTCACTGGCCCATTTCTTTTTCTTCTGCGTTCCATCCAAAATGGGCTTTATTGCACCAGACACCTTCCTTCAGAATTCTTCAACTCTCAATTTTGTCAATACAGACTGGTTTTATTAGTTGTATATTCAAGATGTTTATATTGATCAACAACACTAGAAGGAATTTATTCACAATAACTGCTCAGTAGATTTCTTTCTCACTCTTACTTTTGGCAGTTTTCTCATTCACACATTCAAGTAATTTTAGTCAGTGGATTTGTGATCAAGTGGATAGGAAAGGTTGTGATTGATCCTTAAAAATAGGAATATGTGGACATGTACCCATATTCACAAGTGATAAATAATGAAAGGTAAATCTGAACTGCCTTAATAGGTAGTGGCAAATGACATTACACGCAACACTCAAACTTGAATTAATACATCATGCATTTTAATTATATACTCTATCAATTAAAAAATACAAAAATTAAAAAATTAAATGCAATAAATCATTTCAAAACAAAACAATGAAGGTGCTAAAAAACAACTGAAGCCGATTTCGCATTGTAACAACAAGTTTACAAACGTAAGTTCATGCAGAATAAATATACATATATATATATACACAGTATACTGTATAAATATATATAAACTACATTCTTTAAAACATTACACCAAGCTCTTCTCCCATTTTCCTCAAGATATTTTCTCCTTTTAATATACCCAATACATATTTTTCTAATAAATAATTGGGTGGCCAATGCAAAATTTCTTCTACTATTCCAGCCCTCCACATCTCCTCCTCACTCACTATACCAACTTGTACACTAAACTGTTCATTCATTGTGCGAGTAGATGCAGGCACTTATGGTCAAGTAAGGTAGTTTGCTCAAAATTACTCCTGTACTACAATTTCCAGAGAATATGCAATTTACCAGTAGCAATCTTTTTAGGATTTATGTACTCTCATTGCTAATATGCAACAAAATAAAGATATGTGAATCTCGTGATTTCTCAAGATTCTTCGTGATCACATGATTGATGTGATTTGTGTGTGTAATATATGAATCTCAATTGTATTATAAGATGTCCTAAAAATTCAATGTTCTATCCAGATTGTGTAGTGTATAAAACGTACCCTAAAGAAGAGTTTGGGCAAAATATATTTTACAGTGATTGAAAGTTTTGGCTTTAAACAATGAATGCATTAGCACAGTCATTACAGAATAAACATCTATTTACTCTAGTTCAATGTCTAAATGTAAATTTTACTTGAAGAGAGATAACAGTGTTCTTGATCCACTCCACATTTTATGGGAATAAAATTCTAAAGGCAAATTCCAAAGTCGATATATCCTTCAGCTAATGAAGATGTGCTCGATTCTGATTTGTTCAAATTTATAAGCAGTGTGGCAGTCATGATGCAGCATTTTTGTTTAAACATTTGGATATATTGGTCAAGACAAAATATTACATCAGAAATGGCCATATATTTATTTATAACTCTGCATTATGAGCCATTTTTCATTGTACTTTACGTCCCATCCCAAATCCTTATCCTCATCCCTTCCAAGTGCTATATAGTCGTAATGGCTTGGCGCTTTCCCTTGATAGTTCCCTTCCCTTCATTGTACTTTAAATCATTTAGACTTAAATGGTTTTACTTATTACATAAAACCAAACTGAAAACTTATCACTTATCATTTACTTGTGTGTGCTGTTTGCTATAATTTATACCCTCTACAATTAGTGACACTGAATTAACTGGGTTATATGTAACATAAATGAATAAGCTGACTTGCATTTGTAGTAAAATAAGTACTGTATATAACATGAGAACATTAAAAAAAAAAAAAAAAAAAATACATTGGAAGCAAAAGAGATGGCAAAGCAAATTGCTTTATAAAGTCGAGACTGTATTAAGACTTAGCACTTAGTAGTGATATATAAAAAAAAAATCCTATTGGTTCCCATTAGTTAAGAGTAGGACAGTCTTAAGAGCTTGTACAAGACTGGCACCATATATCTAACACCAAAACTTGACCAATACTGCTGCAATGAGCTAACATAAAAACTTAGAAAAGCCTTGCTGACAAACGCAACTCTTAAGGGTGACCTTCAACACCACCCTTTGCCCCTCTCTACTTTCTTCCAACTCGTCTCACCGATTCGATTATTAAATGCACAGTCTTCTTCCTGCATATTTATATCACTAGAACTTGTCTTTCATGTTTATCAACCTAATAAATAACACCATTTGTCATAATTCACAGTTTCCCCAGTTTGTTTTTGTTGCAAATCATTTTCATACTAAATGACAGATACACTATGACCAGCACTTTCTCAGCAACCATTGTTGTGGTGTCAGATACTTTCCTTTTTTGTTATATTCCGAGTTAAAAAAAAAAATCTGATACTTTAAACACACTAACATTTCAATAAATACTGTATATATATATATATTATTCAGTATTTTAATGATAAAACTGCCATAATAACTTTAATAAAACTTAAAAAAAAAAAACTGAAAACCTTGAAATATATTTGTATCACAAACTATCCAGATATCTTGAAAAGATTAAACCTTTATTACTGCAATTATTTCAATATCTTCACAATTGTTTACTACTGTATATGGAAATTTTCTCTTTTTCTACTGTATATCTCTCGCCAGAAAATTAAATTTTTAGTGCATGTCTGTTACAAAAAGTCTGACTGCAGAAACCTTCTCCTAAATGTGGCAGTTCATCTAATCTGCAAACTTGGTGTATGTATTTAGGCTCTATAACTTAATAAGAAATTGAGAGCTAATCATGCAACCAATAATGAACCGATTCCTTGAGACTGCCAGCCACACAAACAAAACAAATGCCTTGCCACGATATTAACATTCTATCACAGTCAGACAGTGGGAAATGAAACTAACATCCACAAGTGACCACTTCTTAAAATTTGTAACCTTTCAAGCCAAACATCCCCCCCTAATGTCAACTCTTAATACGAAAACTGATTCACCATTTCATAATTATGTACAAGACAATTCTTATGTTCAGTATTCATGTTTATTTTCCAACTTGCATTATTTGGCCCATAATAATGTACGAGTGCACTTATAACCTCACACTCCAACAACAACCAGAAGGGGCCCCCTATAACTGACGCACCTGATGTGTTAGCTGTTGCTATGTCACACGCCTCTAGGGCTTGCCGTGCCTCCTTCTCCTCCATTTCCTCCAATTCCTTCATTTGGGTTTCAAGAAGTGCTTGCTTTGCCTTCTGCTTTTTCTTCAACTTTTTCTTCTTATTTTTTGACATCTTGGCATTAGGATCTGGCTGGGAGTAATGCTTTGGTGCTGTGCTCACTGTTAAATAAAAAAAAATAGTCAACAAATTTATTAATTAAAAATCTAAATAAAACTAGCAATCTGAATTTACATAAAATAAAATACTATAAAAAATAAAGTTGTTTTCTCTAGTCAAATTAAGGGGATCAACTTTCTGCACTTCACATCTAATACACACCTAAAGAACCTGGAAGTTTAAGTCCCATCTTCTGCCACTGTGTCGCTTCATACGCAAGTTTTCGGATATAGGTCTCGTCTACACACATGAGTATGTTCTCAGGTTTAATATCAGTGTGGATGATCTGACATTTTGTATGCAGGTAGTCCAATGCTTCCAGCACCTAAAAACACAAGATCATGTTAAAAGTGACAGCATTATAGTGAAAAGGCGGTGAGGAACTACTCTCCAACAAATTATTCAATTTTTAAAGCAAATTGATGATTTTCATGAAGAATATTAGGAAAACAATGAAGCTATTAGGAAAACAATGAAGTCTGTCATACAATTATTAAATATAATCCTGCTAATAGAGATGTTACATAATTCAATACATATATGTAAGGAACTGAGACAGGATAAATACCAATTAACACCAAATTACTAATTAAAACTTCTAAATGCTCAAATTTACCCTAGATATGAATCTTTATGTAAATGCTGATGAATGTTATCATCATGCACAACATCGGTAAGTAAGTTAAATAATAGAAAATCTGCTCTGCAATTTTTTAACATGTAGACATGCTTTTCATGAAACCAATACTGTATTGCCAAAATGAAAAGTTAACAAAGAGATTGTTGGCAGTTACAGTCAAAGATATTGGTGTAGATTAATACTGTATATCAGTCATTATTGATATCATTAATGTTATTGTCCAACAAACTATCTGGATGAAAAAACGTTGGTTATGTTGGTAAACCATAACTAGGAATTTCATATATATTTAGAAAATATTTGTAAACAGCTTGTAAAATTATACAAGCTAATTACATTTTTTTTTAAGTACCCAGTTATGGTTGACTAAAACATAAGCCATAATTTTTTCATTCAAACTTTTTAAGATGACTCAGGCCGGGATTGGTAGTGATGGGATTGAGTGAGATAGGGTAGAGACAGGAGGTAGAAAAACAAGGTAGAAAGACGTGGGGAAGAGGAGGGGAGGGATGGAGGGAGAAAGAGGGGGGAAGAAAGAGGGGGGAAAAGGGGGGGGGAGGAAGAAGGAAGAGGGAGGGGAAAGAAGGAAGGAAGAGGGAGGGGAAAGGAAGGAAGGAACAGGGAGGGGGAAGGAAGGAAGAGGGAGGGGGAAGGAAGGAAGAGGGACGGGGAAGGAAGGAAGAGGGAGGGGAAGGAAGAGGGGGAACAAGAACCCAGCACTGTCAAGTACCTCATTAAGTTTGTTGTACAATAACCTCTTATTATAAACACAATGAAAAATAGGGTACATCTCAGATCAACCTATATTCAAAATGTATGTTTAGTAAATGTTAAAATATTTAGAATTTATAGGAAATTTGAATATATTTCTTCAACTTCAACCTAAAACTATTCATTTCAAGTCGAACACCTAAAATATTTTTAGTTTGAAATATGACAATGAAAATTTTCATTGTGTCCAAAGTCACTCAAATTTTGCAACTGAAATAAAAGTTTTAGGTTCAACTGGCATTCTGAAGGAATGAGTTCAATTTCAGCAGGAGTACACAGCATATATATTTTTCAGTAAATATAGAAAATACTGCATATTTTTGGAAAAATGTTAAAATATCAGCGCAGAGTTACCTGACGTATAATATTCTTAACGTTGGCAAGGGGAATCCCTTGGTAGTTGGAGCGGATGATAAACTTAAGAAGGTTGTGTCCCAGCACCTCAAATACCATACATACATGCGTTCCATTCACCCCGCTGATCTTGAAGTCATCTAATAATTGAACCGTTTTATCTCTCTTAGGATCATTCTCATCAGATTCTCGAACCTGCAAGAAAAAAATATATACACTGTAGTACCAACACTGTAAAACACTCGGGCCATATTAGTTTAAAAATGCTTATACCACATAAAAACACACTAATGTTGTACTGAAACCACTCTGTGCTAGACAAAATTTAGGGCTAGCACCCAAACATTATTTGCTTACTCCATCTTGAAAATAATAACACACATGAAATACATTCATACAAGGATACTTCAATAAATGCCAGTTGCCTCATGATAAGTGCTTAAACAGGATGTTATAATGATTCCAGGAAATGCAATAATTCCACGGTGCTGTAATGCATACCAGCTTTTGTAGTGACCAGAATGAACATAATACAATGATCATGAGGCAGTGGTTGTGGTCATGGATTTTGCATCAGTAGTGGTGGTATAGTTAGGTTACACAAGTGGTGGTGATTATGCTAGTACTGTACATAGTTGATTTTAGTAGTTGTGGTGATTGGATTGGCCGAGATGGTGGTACCTATACTGTACTTGCCTTCATGTAGTCCAGGGTAGCCACATAAATGCAGATGTGTCATAATTTATGCATAAATGCATATCTTGAGGTTATCTTGAGATGATTTCAGGGCTTAGTGTCCCCGTGGCCCGGTCCTCGACCAGGCCTCCACCCCCAGGAAGCAGCCCGTAGCAGCTGTCTAACTCCCAGGTACATATTTACTGCTAGGTGAACAGGCCATCATAGTGAAAGAAACTCTGCCCATTTGTTTCCGCCTCCACCGGGGATCGAACCCAGACCCTGAGACCTATGAACACAGAGCACTGTCCAATGAGCTGTCAGGCCCCCTTGAACATTTGACGGTAGTTGAGATGGTAGTGGTGGTTTTGGGCATGATTGTAGGAGTGGCTATGGAGACAGTGATGTTGAAATTTCAAGTTGTTTGAAAATTGATAGTATATATTTACTCTTAAGTTGTGTACTGTATTTGCTCTTGAGCTTATGATTAATGGTGGCTAGCACTTTTTTAAGTGCATTCCACTGATATTTTAATCCTATTCCCCATCGATTGAAAGAGGCTGTTTTAGTCCAATTTGTCGACGGCCCTTGCATAATAATCGTATCCTTTCTGATCCTCTCCTCTAAAATTTTTAGATTAATTTAGTTCCATTAACCTGTCCTCATAGCTTAGCCCTTAAAAAGGCTATTGCAAACCTTTGTGCTATACAAGTTGTAGATTCCCCATCAGTGCTGGGGATGTAGTAAAATCTCACTCGAGTTGTATAAATTGTCTCGTACATATTTTTGTATAAATATGTACATTATAATTAAGAAGCAGTTGCTGAAATCATTGAAAGCCTTCATAACAAGGGTTCCCATCTAAGGCTTAGCATCCACTTGGAGAAGGGTTACGAGCAGTGTCCAACAGGATTCGGCGTTAACCCTGTTGTTTGTTATCAGCATAAAACATTGCCTCGTAAACTTCACAAGTGCTTGCAGAGGATGCTCAAGTTTCAGGTTCAATAAAATATTTGGGAGATTGTGACTAAGTGACATACAAGATTAGCAACTTTAATGTTAATGTAATGATGGAGATGGATAAAAGCCAATACAAGCAATGCAATTGTCTATTTTCTCAAGGTCATACTTGTTCACTTTGTAGCATAGTGTACCTTGTTGCACATTATGCAACAAGGTACACTATGCTACAAAGTGAACAAGTATGACCTTGAGAAAATAGACAATAGGAAGAGAAGAAAAAATGAATGCAAGTGAGTGAACCCTGTGCACTACTGTACTCATTGACAGTGAAGTTTATGTAAAGATGCTAAAAATACATTTACAATGTCCACCTGACTTAAATTTAAGCATGAAACATCAAGAAATTATTAGCATAGAGCAAAGTAGGTACAGTACAAAGATTAAGGTTTCCAAGTTATGGAGAGGGGACTGCAATGCCCAGATATGTCAAAAGCTGTAGACGAGAATATATGGGACATTAAGACAACATTCAAAATCCTCATAGGCTGAGAAACCTGCTAATTATCTGACACTAGAATGAGAGGGGCATTATCTGAAATTCTGTAATCAAATTAGTGAAAATAATGTTAAGAAATTCTCTCTCTCTCTTTCTTTTCTTTTCTTTTACCAATAGTGATGGTTAACCCTTAAACAGTGCAAAACATACATACTGTATATGATTGGACATAACATCAGTTTCTCAAACTTGTACAAACACTTTCCAATTTTTTGTGCATAATCAACTAGCAAATGCTCCAACTTTGTCTAAATGATCACTAACGTAACTTGAAAAACAAGAAAATCAAAGATATTTTAAAAATTGAAAACTCCAGATTTTCAAATCAGATTAAAAAATATAAAATATCACCAACTGTTCATTTGGTGTTATTATGCTCTCAGAATAGCATATGATCTTCATTTTCATCAAATTAGAATACAGTATAAGTTTTCAGTATAGTTTACTGTAAAAAAAAAAATTCAATATGGCATTTGAAATATGTGGTCAATTTAGACAAAAAAAATTATAACTCCAAATGTTTAGGGTTTATGAAAAATCCATTTTATAGGGATTGTAGAACAGACAGTTGCACACACTACAGTACTGTACAGGGTATATGTAAAAATGGTGAGAATCGGTCAGAAACTGAATTTTTTTTTATCCAACTCAAAGTTGAAATTCTAATTATAGATATAATTGAAGTTGAAGTTATTGACAATAAGGTAGTTCCTATTCATTAATTTACTTGTATATTTTAACATTGTTTGGCATTCATACTCGAATATATGAAAGTTGAAGGTCAATGTGTGTTGAAATGAAGTCAAGTCAAACTCACAAAAAAACAAAATACTGTATAGGGATAATTATAATAATTTAGGGTATACTTTATGTAAGTGAAAAAGCCCTAATCTGATCCCTAATCATTAAAACAACTTAAAGAGACAAAGTAAAGAGAGTTTGAAATCTGAAAAAAAAATCAGCCAAAAAATTTCTAAGTCCCAAGTTCTGTGAGTTGTGACATGTATTTGTTGACCAATATCATTCTATCCTCACATAGTTAGGTGTGGGTATGCACTCTCCAGGATGTAAAGTTACAACAAAATCTGATTATAAACAAATGAGAAAAAAAAAAAAATGGACATTGATGAAAGTAACAGATTGGGCAATGTATTTATATGATATATAACAATATAGAGCATAACAACATACTCATAATTATTTGTGTTATTATGTATTACTCGGCAATGCTATAAAGGCACCAGCTGCATATCCACTTTGGGGACACTTCCTACTACTGTTCTTTAAGCGTCGGACAGGTGCTTGCATCTCTATTACTGCACTATCTATCAGTTCCAGGAGCTGTTCTCCTTATCAGCAAAACGTTCTTCTTTTTTGAAAAAATTTGTCCAAAATCAATTTCTGAAAATATTTTGATGAAGGTTTTACAACGCTCAAGTCAATAAGTTGGAGATTTGCTTAACATTTTTAAGCAATTTACATAATTTGAATATTTTTGCCTTCCCGGCCCCCGTTTTGCACCGTTTAAGAGTTAACAGGTGGCATGGGCTATCAAGAGCCATAATGTATGCCAACAGTAGAGTGTAACACAAAGAAATATTAGTGCTGGAAGACAGATACAGTACTATTAGCATAGCTCACTTTTTGTAACGACAATGAGGTAATCTCACACACAAGTACAAATGTAAACTTAAGAAATTAAGCAGGCATACAAAATACATACATGACCATGCAAACAAGTACACTTGCAAACAATCCATCAAATCTGTATATGCAAACAAGTACACATGCTAGTATGCACGTGTGTGGATATGTCAATATAACATGGAATACTGTATATGGCACATCAAGAAAATTATTTATTTTGTTAGGTGCTATACTATTCAGTACAAAGTACAGTATTGCAAATACTGTATCTTGCATAATTACAATTTTTATTATTATTAAACCCAAACAAACTTGAATGGAAAAATATATCTAAATATTATTTAATGCTAGTGTTTAACAAAAATTGTACTGTGGGAAAATACAGCCTGGGAAACGATGTACGACAACTTTCTGGCAAAAGCAGAAGAAAACTAAACTGTACTTTACGCTTTTCAGAAGAAAATCTTCAAAGCTGACTGACAACGTCTTCTGTATGAGATATGAAAGGAGAGTTGATACAAAGTTTCACCTTATGAAGTTCTAAACAAGGCTGGCAAGATAATTACTCACAATTGTTTTGCTTCTACTCCAAGAAGATAATGGACACATGTTAAAGTATTTAAGATTACAAGTTGGTCATGCAATAAATTCCTTACAAAAATATTTCTGGAATTAAAAAAGTTTGTAAGAAAACGGGTAACTTACACATTTTAGTAATTTAATTTCATCTAGGGCCGTCTCTGTATAGTGGGAGGCACTCTTCACTACCTTGAGTGCTACAAACCTCTTGGCTCTGAAATACATAGAAACACATGCATTAAACAGTAAGTGTTGTGCCTTCATTATTAACAACAATTTTGATAACCATTAATAAAAACAAATACACATCAAAACTGTTTGTATAGAAAGGCAGAAAACATTTAAAAATAGAGTAATAGTGTTTACTTTAATAATGAGAACAAACTAGCTTGGTAATAGATACAAGCTTATGCATAAGCTTTACAAAAAAAATTCAACTTTAAGAAAATTTACCAATTCATCTTGGTCTATGATAATTTGACAACTTTGTTCAATTGCAGTACAGTACAAGGCACAGCACAAGCATAACTTCATGAACCTTTATGCCTACAAAAATCAGCAATCATTTTGTCACTGAAGAGAAAACCTGGATACTGGGTCCTTATTATCGAGGCAGTCTCGAGTTAGACTAACTTTGTGAAAAAGTACCTCTGGGAGTTTGCACCACCTGCTGATGTAGACTTTACTAAATGTAAACTATGTCAGCAGAACTATTCACATACTCTGCATCCTAATATACTGTAACTGAATATGAAAAGATTGTGGTGTTTAGAGATAATGCCATCAATGGTGTTACAGAAATCTAAGTACTTCATTCATAATGATGTATTGTACAGTGGTACCTCGGAATACGTGTCCCCCTGTATACGAGTTTTTCGGAATACGAGCAGGATTTGCTCGGAAAATTTGCCTCGGAAGATGAGGGGTGCTGATACACGTACAGGCCGACTACCACGTGGTGGGATGGCGATCGCGCCTCAGTTTACCAGTGCCTTGCGCCCAGTGACTATCCCGCCTGAATTCTTCACAAGGATTTACAGTTTTTTGTCGGATTTTTGTCCATTTGAGCATAAAAGTTGTTATTACATATCTCACCATGGGTCCCAAGAAAGCCAGTGGTAAGGTTCAACCTAAGAAAATAGTTGTTAGTAGAGGCAGTAGAGGATGTTCCTTCTTCATTAAGAAAATGTGTGAAGTATGGGAAGAACTGCAAAGTTTTGTTGAAAAAACTCGCCCAGATAAAGCTGTAGCAGGCAGTTGCATTGACTTTTAAATGACAATGTGATGTCTTACTACATACAAGTGTTTAAATGTAGGGAAAAACAAGTGTCTTTAGACAGAGTCTTAGTAATACAAGCAAGTCCTAGTGGTATGCAGGCAAAACGTGCCAGAGAGTGCATACCAGTGAAGTCCTCACTGCCTGATGTTATAATGGAAGGGGACTCCCCTTCCAAACAGTAAAACCTCTCCTCCTCCCTCCTCCTCACCATCTTCCATACGCCAACAGCAGTCATCAGCAAGGGTAAGTAATAACTTGAATATAGTTTTGTAGGTTTATTTAGATGAATTAGGTATAAAATTTAGTGTGAAGTGAGGTTTTTGGGTAGTCAGGAACGGATTAATTCATTTCCCATTATTTCTTATGAGGAAATTGGGTTCGGATTACGAGTTTTCAGAATACGAGCTGTCTCCAGGAACGGATTAAACTCTTAAACCGAGGTACCCCTGTACTGTACTACCAGAAATCTTTGGCAAGTATCCAAAATGGTGCATGCACATGACGGTAAAGCTGCCATGCAGTTGGATGGGTGTGGAGCAGGATTAGCAATTGTTTAATTCACCACAGATGTAAACTGCCTGTATAGATACTGTTTAACCGCTTCTTGAATCACTTGTGATATAAAAAGACTACTGATATATGTACATGTATTTGTGTAAAAGAAAAAGAAACTGTACAGCTAGCTTCACAAAATTGTTATTTGCTTAACTAAATGAACTGTGGCATTCACTTCCTGAACCCATTATGTGCCTCTGTAAGCCTTTACACCACCACCCACGGGATGGGTATGTGGTGCATAATAAATGACAAAAATATAAGTAAAAATAATTTTAATGACATTGATGTTCAAAATTTAAAATTTACTGTACAGGTATTTATTATTGGGGAATAAAGTTGTCTATAGAAAGTTGGTATACTGTACCTTGAAAACTCTGAAATAATGTCTCAATTATAGAGACAAATTAATTTTAAGTTGTGCAAACTTTTTTTTTTTTTTTTTTTTTTTGCTAAAATTGTAATACAATAAAAAACAACATATGTAACCCTGCTATTCATCTATTCCTAGAAAATGAAGGACACATTTTTGCAAATAAATTTAGCATTATTATTGTTTTAGATTTTGCTACTCTGAACAAGATGTCCATGTAGCACGGGCTATAGTGAGCCCGTAAATTTAGCATTAGCAAACAAATGTTAAGTTGCAAACGAAACATTCCTTTAAAATTCTACATAATAACCTCAAGAGAAAAAAAATCAAACAATTTAAGTACTTACTGAAGATCCCAACAGAGCCAGACAGTGGAGAAGTGACCCCAGCCTAGCTTACGGATCACATGATATCTATTGTAGAATAGGTCACCTATCTTCACAGGATGATAGCCACCTGCAATGAAGAAATATTCTTATTATCTGACTGTAAAACACTGTTCTATTGAAATGTAACATGAAAATGGGAAACAGAATAATGCTAATGTACAAAAAAATAAAAAATTAAATCTTAAGATACTGTACAGGCAAAACTACTTTAGCTGAGAAGAGAACATCTAGTTCTCTTCTCAATCAAAATACTGTATATTAATTAGTTGAATTCATAATAATAGTATATTTAGAGCCTAATTAACTTTGTAAACAAAATAAATATACCCTGGCTTTTACAGACTACACTAATTGGAATGTACCTCCTTCCCTTTCCTCTGACATCCCCAAAGGCAGATTACTGGTCTTTTGTAAACAATATAAAATGCACTTACGCACATTTTAATACATTCATAACATCAAAATCTTCTGCAGTACAGCAATATAAACCATTAGTGGCAGCTTGTGGCAGAATATAATGGGGGCAACTGCATCATCATCGAACAGCAGGAAACTTCTTTCTCGTTTTAATGAAAATCTTCAAAATTTAGTCAAGAATATATTGAAAATAACAAATTCATTTTGCTATGACATTTGTTCATTGCTTATTATTCTAGTGTGAGATTGATGGTGCTGCCATACACCTGGCAGCGAGTGTCTGGGGGATGGGAGGGGGGGGGGGAATTACTAAAGCTCAGGAAATCTTATGGCTGAGCCACCACTGAACTTACAGGCAACCTGTTCTTGCACAACTCGTTCTTGCACTTTCTTATAGTCAATATCTTGCTTATGAATAAGTGCATATGTGACATACTAATTTATTGTGAATATTTGAGTTTACCTTGAAAAGCTGAATAGAAAACCACAACCTAACCTAACCTTCTTAGTATGTTAAGATATTATAATTAGTACTGAACCTATACCTATACTGATATTACAGTTTTATAAAAATAATAAAACAAAACTAAAATATTTAAATTGTAAAGTAACTCAGGATATTGTAAAATTTTGTATAAAATCTCTATTGTTTAATAAAACTTATAGGAAAAGTTAGTGCCTTGAAAAAGATATGGCTTTGAATATGTCACATACATACTTTTTATAAGCGAAATAGTGACTATAAGCAATAAGTCATGTGCGCCGACTTGTGCGAGAGCAAGTTGCAACAGTATACCAGCTTGATGGGGTTCTGGGAGTTCTTCTACTCCCCAGTCTGGATCATCAACTTTCATATTGTTTATTGGTGTGCTAAACATAGCCTCATACTGGCTTCTTAGAATTTCACTAATTTCTTTGTTGTCCTCTGTGTACGTACCTTCGGTTGTAATTAAAGGTCCAATACTGGACCTTTTTGATTTTGCACATGTGAAAAAATATTTTGGATTCTTCTTTATCTCTTGTATAGCTTTCTGTTTCAATTCCATTCCCTCAGACTCGTATGATCGCTTCAACGTTTGTTCTATTTCTTTGATCTCCCTGTTTAGGTTTCTTTTCCTTTCTTGTGATAGTCGTGTCTGCCTAAGCATTTCCGGTATTTTTTTTTCCTTCTCCTGTACAGTCGTCTGCGTTCTCTTTCTAGAGTGGTCCTCTTTCTGCCCCTTCTCACAAGCACGTCCTTCAAGCAGACCTTGTAAGCTTCAGCTGTCAGTTGAGCTATTCCCTGTGTGGGAGTTTTGTCGCTTAAGATCGTCTCCCATTGAATGTTTGCAAGGTCTACATTTATTTTTTCCCAGTCGATCCTCTTATTGTTGAAATTGAATTGATTGAATACCCCGTCTCGCTTGTTGGGTCTCTTGGACTTACCTAGTATACATGATGCAGGAATATAGAGGGAAAATTTTGTTAACTTTTGTAATGACGTTCCAGCAACCGTGTCGCCAAGTGAGATGTCAATGTACTGAACTAATGCAGCTTCACCTCTAATGATCCTCGGCCCATCCTCCTAAAATAGTTACTTATTGTGCATCTATTTGGTCAAACAAATCAAGATGTACTGCTCAACCCCCAGAGTTCACAATTTGTATTACTATTGACAGTCATCTTCAAATTCTCAAACCGACTGAATCCTATGCCTTTACTGATGGCTCTGTGCAGTTAGGCACTGGTAGAACAGGTTGTGCATGTGCAGTGTATAAAGGGAATGAAATGATCATGACTAGTACACAGAGATTGAACAACTGGGCAAGCACGACACAGACCGAGCTATTGGGTATTTATCTAGCCACTGAATACCTTAAGCTCAATGGTGGTGGAGTTATTTTCTGTGACTCTAAAAGTGCTCTGCAGTCCTTAAATAACCCATCACAATGTATGTCGGAAGTAGCTTGTAATATTAAATGGAATGTAATTTTTGCCAATGATAATAATTCTTGTATAAAATTTGTGTGGATCCCATCCCATGTTGGAGTTGAAAAACATGACTTTGTAGATCAATTGGCCAATGAGGCTTGCAGGAAAGAAAACATTGATTATGATTTTGGACTATCTAATGCAGTTATTAGAAACATACAAATTAAAGAAATTAATTCAGATTTAGAAGAACTAAGAAATGCACAGAGACCTGAAAGCTGCAGTATTAAAAGTTATGACAAGTTCTGTAATAATAGGTATTTGTATGGTCAGCACTGTAACCGGACCAGGCAATGTGATGTAGTCATTGCGCGAATTCGCCTTGGCTATAGACACATCTGGCAGGTTAGTGAGGCTGAGCCACTACCAGAATATTCAGATTGTAAACTCTGTGATAAACCTTTAATGCATTCACTAGAACACTATATTGATGAATGTGAAACCGTAAAGGACTTTAGACCTCCTGGCCTATTGTACCACCAACTGTGTAACTATTTTATTGACTCAGGTGTTCTGGATGACATCCTAACAATTTACCCAAAATTTGCTTGTCCATTTTAAAGAATGAAGAACAATTTCTACTTATATTCTAAGCTGTATCACTTATGAACCCATCCCTGCCCTTGTGTGGCAGTGCACAATAAAAAGTTGTTTTCACATATCCACACATTAAAACATTGATTGTAACCGTGATATATATGTGCTTCAGCCTACAGTTTAGGCCTATTGTCTTATGTATGACCCTCTGTCCTGCGTGACAGTGAATACTAGCATTAACCTCAATTTAATAAGACTATCAAAATCCTCAGATTAGGCAAAATTGTAATTAATTTTGTCAATAAAGATGTTAATAATAATAATTTGTATTACTGAATTAGCCCAACTGGCATTCTAGAAATCGGAAGTGTATCTAAAGATCCTAACTTAACCTGCCCAAGGAATTTAGGCCTAATACATGCTATCTTAGGCCTAATATGGTGGGTGGGTGGTGTGTGTGTGTACTCACCTAGTTGTGCTTGCGGGGGTTGAGCTCTGGCTCTTTGGTCCCGCCTCTCAACGGTGTCTCAGTCGAAGTTGGAGGCCTGATGCTTGGATCTAACCTCACCCAAATTGGCAGGTTGGGGGGAGTGGTGGAGGAATGGTCTGGGGTATGGGATGAACATAGGCTGGTCGAGGTCGCCAGAATTCAAAAGGTAATAGCGTGTCAGGGTTAAATTCAGACCCCCACGACGATTTTTGGGTCACTGTTTGCCAGTGTACCTATGAAAATATTAAAAAAAAAATAGTATTTGTTTTCTTATAGAAATATACATCATTATTCATTGACCGCAGGAAAATTAACAGAAATTCCCAGCTATTTGAACTAAGGCCATAATACCATAAAACACCTAAATTATATTCTGAAAATAACCGCCCCCAATAGAAAACGAAGCCAAATCACAAATTCAAACAGTGAAACTATTATATTCTGTGTGAATGACATTTAATATTATGAAGACAGTGACACTTCCTCTTATTAGGATAGGAAGACGAGAGAAAGACAAGAGATGAGTAGGAAGGGAGAGGTGGGGTGGGGAGGATGAGTGCACCGCCAGATACCTCACCGAGTAAACTACAGTATAAGCAAAATACAAAACTCCTCAGTCCAGTAATATATACTGTATTTCGAACATGTTATGGGAGAGCCAAACCTTTGCTGGCCCAGGCCTACAGCAACCCTAGTATGTTTTACCAGTCCTAGTGTTGCTGGCCCTGGCCATCAGCAACACTAGGACTGTCCCTGGTATACCGTACTGTATTTCAACATTAATCTCCACGAGTACTGATCCAATAAAGCACTTGCCGAAACTGAACTAAGCTAATTATGTTCCTTTTTCCTGTGCAGGCGATGAGTCACAATAACGTGGCTGAAGTACGTTGACCAGATCACACACTAGAAGGTGTAGGGACGAACGACGACGTTTCGGTCCGTCCTGGACCATTCTCAAGTCGATTGTGAGAATGGTTGTGACAATCGACTTGAGAATGGTCCAGGACGGACCGAAACGTTGTCGTCCCTTCACCTTCTAATGTGTAGTCTGGTCAACTTCCATTTCCCTTAAATTTATGAGCATTATTTTACAATACTGCATGATGATGGGAAGCTTTAAAGCTGCACACACACACACCACCCATTCATTTAAGTCATTACATCTCTACCACTCTTCCATATAGAATTTCAAGTTTTCGGGGGAGGAAGTGGGGGGGGGGGAACCTGTAATTAATTAGGATGTTCTTAATGTTGCGAGTTTGAAAAGTCTATGATTCTCAGTGATTAATAACCCTCAGTATTTTTTAAAACTTATAAAATCTACCACCGGAGGGCTGCGTTACATTTGATAAGTGTGTAATTTTATATTCGAAGTAGCTAACCACATCTCAAAATCAATTGAAAATGTCATCAATGCAACAACCACCATAGTAAACTGCAGATTATACCAGACCTTAACCGTCAGTAGTGCCACGGAATAAGCAACAAAAAATGTAAACTTAAATTACCAGTATTCAGGTTACTCCCATTATATCAATTGGTCTTTGCCATGATGCAAATATTACCAGTACCTGCTTGATGGGGTTCTGGGAGTTGTTCTTCTCCCCAAGCCCGGCCCGAGGCCAGGTTTGACATGCGAGTTTGGTCCA